TTCATGCATAACTTTTTACTCCTATTTAAAGTCTTCACAAACTCACTCTTTGAACTTGAAACCATTTATACCTTTTCGTTCAATTTTACGAACTCACGCTTTGAACTTAAAACCTCTTTTATAACTTTTCATTTACATTTACAAACTCACACCTTGAACATGAAACTTCGATGTATAGTCATACTTACGCACTTGCCCTTTAAACACGAAACTTTGTTTTCTAACTTTTCATTCACATCTATGAACTCGGGCTTTGAACAGAAACCTCCCTTTATGAATTTAATTTATCTCGATTTATACTGTACTTGTGAACTTGAGAACTGCGGTTATGGTGTTCGCTCAGACTAAAAGTTGGTTTGTTGGCTGACTTATGACAAGAGCGCGCGCAACTGAAGTCAATTGTTGTATTCGAGTCAAAGCTATTTTTCAATCGATTCTCTACCGCTCTTGACAAGCCCATAGACATGTTGAAAAGTTTGATGTTTACAGGTATAATGGCGCCTTTTATTGCACCGTTTTAGAAAAATGAAAATGCCTAGCTGATGCTGACTCTGCTTTGGTGAGTTGTAACACTTAAAAGAGAAAACCACTTAAGGCCTTTGTCATAACAGAGCGTCATGTCAAAAATTAACAAAACAATGAAATATACGTTTCTCCAATGATGGCACAAGGATTTCGATCGTCTAATTTTAAATTCAACATTACTTGGAGTTGAGCATTCAGTTGTTAATATCTACCAGCAAAAGAAATCTACCTCACCGATTAAAGGGCGGGATTTTCGATCCTCCTGCTTTCATGAAGTGGGTAGTTGTACCTTCATAAGTATTGAGCATGCATCGGCTGTTTTATTTCATAATGTCACTAAGGCAGTTGTGCAAAGACACGAGGAAGCGTCCTCTTAAAGCTTTGTTTTTTTTCCCTGGCGAAAATTTAACTGGGATAGCACAAACATGGCTGACTGTCGAAAAAGACAGAGAACTCGCAGAGGGAATGAAAGTGACAGTAAACTGGCAGGGAAGAAAGGTCCACGCTGAAATACTGGTCCTGAGTGGTCAGGGCCGTAGCCAGGAAGAAACTACAACCGAGGCGAACACACGGTCCGTTGTACGAAATTAGCCGTATGAAATCTTCTAATATTATCAGTCTGATAAAAAAAATAAAAATCGACAGTATTTGGTAAAATTTTACCGAGGCGAGTGCCTCGGTTCGCCTCATACTGGCTACGGCGGTGGTGGTAAGTTGTCAAAAAAGTCTTTATGGTGATATATAAAGTAGATCGCGATGTTTTTTTGTAACTAATACAGATTTATTCCACTTTTATGCTCTACTTTCTGTTTTTCTGTTTTATAAACTGGTCAATACTGTTTCATGTGACCATAACCAGTGCTTATGACGTAACTAATAATTGCATTTACGATTTTTTGTAGACGATGAGGATGCGTTGAATCTAAAAGACCTCGAATGCAGTAAAGAGAACCTGCCGGACACGTCAAGTATGGAAAAGCAGAACATTGTGCCTCTAAAAAAGAAAGTGGCACGACCTGACAAGGTAAAGATGACCTAAAGGCTAATTAACTGACTCATTTTCGCTTCGTCACTTTTTCAAGTGTGCTAGTGCTACGTGATTTTCATAGAAAAATTTTGGATTAATGTCCAGTTAAGACCCCTTAGGCGTGAAGGAATATTTTATATCAATGTTGGGATAACGCGCATGCGATAGAATCTCTGATTACCCTGAGGTTTCTGTGATTTGTTGTCAGCGAATTCAACACTTAGCTAATCACTAGGTTAGGATTAGCCAACCCTTAGCTAATGATAGAGGTCAGTTACCCACTTGGCTTCGTTCGCTTGACTGTTCATTATTGTTCACCTTTAGGTAAAGCCTAAAACAAGAGTCCCAGCTTCGATACCAGTTGAACCAAGCCCTCAGTCAGCCGGAGAAGAAACGGAAGACAAGTACGCTAAGTTCGTTTTGGAACAAGAAGAATAGGAGGTAGAGTGGCTTCCTAACCGCGGCATAAATAAAGCAAAGAAAACTTCTGAGGTCAGCATCCTAAAGCAGCAACTGGAATCGAAGGACCATCAGTGTGCTTTGTTGAAGGAACAACCCCGGGGACAAGAAGTTTTCTGCAAGGTAACCACAATGATCAGTAACCTTATACGCTGTGGCTATATGCTGGGGTTTTCGATTTGTGAAATTTACGGAGAATATAGGACCGCCGATCATTTAGTGTTTTGAAAACATTGACCGGCAGTCTTCTAAGTGTCACAAAACATGGTTTCCTTTTCTGAGCCCAGCGTAAACAAAGTGACCTGTCACTACATCACTAATCACATTGTTTACTCCCTTACGGCCATGAGAACACTAGCACAGCCTTCTATTTGATTCCTTTTTCCAGTTTCAGGATAGAGACACTTCAGTTAATTAGGCACAATTGATTAATCTATGGTTAAAATAACGCGTATTGTGTTTTAAATCGGCAGATGATGGAAAAATTAGAAAATGTGTTCATGGCCATGGAAGGCAATATCGCACAGTGATTGTCAAGCATCGAGGGCCACTAGAACCTTTGGAGACAGTGGTAAGTTGTGACAAAATGACCTGTTACTACATTCTCTGTAATAATTTATTGAATAATTTACCATATTTTTAAAAAAGTGACATGGAAGCAAAAATGTTTTTAAGCAACCTGACGGATCAAGGCGTATTTTTCAGTACAGTTGAACTTCGATATAACGAACCTTCAGGCAACGAAGTCCTTGGTAAACGGATGATAATTGTTCTTCGCCGCAGCAATAGTAAAATAATTATATGGAAAAGACCCTTGATATATCGAGGCCTCGTTTTAGCAAACATATTATTTTTGCCAGTCCCACAGCCCTTTACAAAATACAAGGTAGCTTACAATCCCAATACCTTTTTCGTGAATTGGAAACAACGTACAGCAGGAAAAGAGGTTGAGGATGCATTGAAATACATCAAAATGTATGAAGCAGGAGTTTGAACCAAAACTACCAAGGGATATTTTAAGAATGTCGAGGAACAAGTCATTCGACGTCAGAGCAAGGTTTGGAGCAATTTATAGTGCTTCTAAAAGTGAAAAGTACCTTTTAAAGAATAGCACCATAGGCAATCGGCTTTTGTTTTCAGAATTAGCAAACACTGAATTTACTTGTCCCGAAAATTGAAACTGGTGTCTCCTTCTTCCTGATAATAATTTATTTTTGAAATTGCAAAACAATTTCACAGCTGAATTTTGAGCGACTTTCAGTTACGGACTTCTGCTCCAACGATTTTTCTGAAATTCCTCTGGCATATTTATTATATCAATTAAAGCCGATACCAGAAATTTCAGTAAAAAATATCAGCAAAATTTTTTACTAGACGCGATTTTCTTTGAACAGTAGGGTCCTTTTAAGCGCTAACTTCTCAAGAAATATTTACCATCAATGAAATGGGAATATTTCGTATTATTGCCGAATGATATCTGTTGTTCTTTGCAAAATTTCGCAGCCATTGCGTTAAAATTGAAAAAGTTATGACGGAAAATTTGTCACAGCTAAATGCTCTTGTATTAATTACAGAGCCACCTTAAAGAAACAACTTCATTTTTAACATCTCCTGTAAAGACACTGTATTTTGGACTAAATGGCGTCCATCTTGGATTTTTTTTGCATGAATTATGCAAATTTTTTCACTTTTGAATTTTTTTGGAAAACTGTATTGAATGTATGTAGAGCAATTAATGTTTTTTATAGAGCTTATTTATCCCTCTTTCAAATGGGATGAAGCTTGAAACACTGCTGTAAATACTTGCAAAGATATTAATAAAAATATGAAAGTCGTCAATTTTGGCCTGATTTTTTGGGGAAGATAATGAATTAAACATCTTTTTGATAAGGATGTCCTTGCCACAGGTACAATGTTAGATTCCAGGTGTAGTTTCCCAGCTACTCTTAAAAACAGTAAAGAGTGGGCTAAGGGTAAGGAGCGGGGGTATATGCGCTGGGTGAGGGACTCTCCCTGTTTAGTTCTGCAGTGGGTCGATAATAAGGTAGTGTCCATGATAACAACTGCAGGCAATGCAAATGACCACGGCCAGGTGTCCCGGAGAGTAAGGAATGATGGGTGATGGACAGAGAGACTTGTTCGACAGCCTAGAATTTTTCAAACTTACAACATGAAAATGAATGCTGTTGACGGGTCGGACCAGATTCTCTCGGCATTTAGCAACCAGCGGAAATGTGTGCGATGGTGGAAAACTTTGTTTTTTTGTCTTATTGATATTGCTGTTGCTAATAGTTTCATTTTGTTTTCAGAACATAGGGCTACGCATCCAGAGATTGAAAGTCCAGCTGGATATTCTCAGTCTGATTTTCGAGATGAAATTGTGCGGGAAATGTGTAACTTTCCAGAATATGGTGACCCCCCTAAATATACTCCTGGGAGGCCAAGGGCTGAACCTTCTATGTTTGAAACACAACATCTTCCCCTTTTCTCCGAAGAAAGGAAATCCTGTGTTGTCTGTTACAAACAGGACAAAGTGCAGAGAAAGGTTCATTCCTATTGTGCTGCACCACAATGTCAGGGGAAATATATGCATGTCACCTTGGACCGAAATTGTTTTCAGATTTTTCACAGCAAAGAATATCACAGCCAATAAATATTCTTTAGGTCTATGGTGCATTGAGTTTAGATATTCTCAGATAAAATGAACAAAAAAAGGGTAAGTACAAAAAAATTTACAAAAAATGAAAAAAAACTAGCATAGTACTTGTAAAGGAGGTCTGAAAACAAAATGATGTACTTTTTTTGTGAGATTAATTGCTAAAGCTTGGGTTTGTTTCTTTTGAGGAAGATGTAGAGGGCATTGTGTTACATCAGGGAGTATCTGAGTATTTGTGTAATTTTATATGATATCCGTTCAGATATGCAAACACCACAGACGCATATATGTAAATAATATTCATCGGAATAGTTTTTATTTTTTATTTGTAGAATGCATTCAACATCCTTTTCAGTAGCCTGTTACATGTTGGCAGGGGTGGTGGTGGTTTTTTTTCTTTTCTTTTTTTTTTTTAAGTACAAAGTCAGCCATTTGGCGAGAGCACATGGTAAAGCACTAAAAGACAAACTGCACATTTCCCTAGTGTTACTTAGAAACTATGAAATATTACTGCACAATATCAACACACGCAGTATCTAAACACACAAAAGAAGATCACAAACAAGAGCAGTATTGTCTTTGAAAAATGCCACTATAACAATAGGCAAAGTTTGATATGATTATGGGAATTGCGAGTAGGATGAAATAGGCCCTTGTTGTGAAAACCAAGTGGTCCTTTTGTGGAATGATGTAATTGACTGAAACCTTTTCTGGTTGTAGGTTGCAAAAACCTCGTCGAAAGGAAATCCTGCAATGGATTTCTTGGACCCAGAAAGAGTTAATGGTAAACAGTACCAGTTATTGAGCAGGGACGACAACATACTTTGTCCCAAGAGTGTAGAACGATCACTGCGTGAAATAAGTAATTTAGTGGAATTTACAGGGCCACGATACTCCCATGGCACTTAGCAAATCGTATACCGACTCGCGAGGTGTCATGAAACGCGGCGTTTCAGAGAGTGTCCGTGTCCCCAATACCTCTGTCGTGAAAAATCAGGACAAATCGTGGCCCGGACACATCTTCTGCGGTGTGTCAAGAAATATACGAGCTCTGATTCTTAACGATATCAGTTAGCCAAAGCTATGTCAACTTTCGACAGTGAGGTAGGTAAAATGGCATGAAAACTGAAATTTAGGAAAAATTATACTTTACCTAATAAAAACACAACTAACTACGCAAACTTTCCAAGGTACGCCGAGGTTGTTAAAGATTTACGCACTTGGCTTAAAGGTTGAATGAAGGTAACATAAGGTTGCAACAATTTTACGCTCATTCTCTTACGCAAGATATGAAAGTTGAGTAACTGTAAGGTTGCCACGTGCACTCTGGTAGCAGGATCTGTTTTCTTTGTTGTGTTTAGCATGACCGAAGTAGTTTTCACGCCGCTAACGATGAGAATCGTTGGCTTGTTGTTTTTGGAGATCTTGTAATTCTGTTCGGGTGACTGGAAGGCATTGTTAACATAAATGGCCCGTCACTTACTCTTGAAAAATAATACAGTGTCTTTGTCACAACGAGTTAAACGAAAACAAATTCAAAACAGAGAGAACATGCGTGATAACTATTTCCTCACTTACGATGAACGACAGACGGCATTCTCGAAAAACTATGGCTACTTAATTTCAACGGAGTATTGACTAACTTTCTACAAATACTACATTGCTTTTTGAAATTCCTTCATCGCTTCCCGGGTATCGCCTCTGTCAGGAGAAGAAAAAAGAAGAAGACCTGGGGGTTATACGTTCGAATGAGGCCTGGAAATGAAACAATAGAGCAAAGCAACTGGTCAGCGGGTATTCGCTTTGCACATGCTCTTTCAGGTTCCGATTTGGCGTCCATTTTGAAAGTGTGGAATCGGGTCGGCATTAGATTCTACCCACCAAAACCACATCGATCGAGAGGGACTGAGATTGACTTTTAGACACCTTGTGACATGTTATACCAACGAAAGATGCCTACGATGTTTTGACGTATTCGCCTCCCGGAGATTCGCCTTTCTTTTGCTTTGGGCTTAATAATATTTGGGAGATCGCGTTCTCGCCAACAAAGGGTGAATATAACGATTATAACTGTATTTTGGCAAATATTGTACGTGAAGTTTTAAAATATGTTTCAGATTTCATGGGTCTACGTGATACACATCTAGCACCGAACACTGTCGGTGGTTTTGGTGGATGTTGAAGTCTACATCCACCAAAACCACTCAGGGTTTTAATTTTTTTAGGCGCATAGTTACGCTTCTGCAAAGTACTGACGGAATTTTTGAAGACCATACTCATTAAGTATAATAATTATTGACACAAACAAAATTTTAATCATGGTTTTTATATAAGTTGTTATTATTTACACATACAAACTATTTTATTTTCTTATTATTATTTATTATTTTTTTAATGTGCACTTGTGAGCAGCACACTTACACTTCCAGTGAACATTTTCACTTGGGAGAAGGAGAAACCATGCTTGCCCGGGGCAACGAAAATTTTCGTGCCCTAGGCGAGAGTCGAACTCGCGGCCTTCCAAATCCCATCATCAGTCCCGGGAAACAAACAGGAACATCATGGCGGGAATTTTAAGTTACGAACCCGCGTTCGATAGGAAAATTGCTGCGAATTTTGGATATGTTTCTGAAGTTCAAAAGCCAACTGACGATTGCGTTTTTCGCTGCCGTCAATCATCTTAACGGACCTCTTAGGAAACAAGACTTTACTTTAATGGGTTCAAAAGGTCAAGTTTTGTGATTTGTGATTGGTGGATTTCGATCCGTTTTGTGTCTTTCTGTGTTTCAAGGTTCGTTGCTTGTGGTCGTAATTATGATTGACGGCAGCGAAAAACGCAATTGCGAAGGCGGCTTTTGAACTTTAGAGTTCGCATGTTTGTGAAAAGCGCAGTAAAGCTGTATTATGTACATTCATAAGTCTCAGAAATTTAGAATTTTGGAGGTCAATATATGTAGACTGGAATGCTAAAATCCATGCCGGAAAGAAACTTCCTCTTGCAGGGGGTGGGGGGAGTATAAAGCTCGCGGTATTTACACCTAGCTATATATCCTGGTTCCAGAGGTTGTTCCTGATTTTTCTCCGCGTGAGAAAGAACGAGCACTTACCAGCGAGCTTCGCGATTCGTTCTCGCCGCTCGTTGCTCGTTTCCAACATCTTACTAACATCTCAGTCATTATGTATGAAACTGTATCCCCTGATATATTTTCTGCACCCCCACGTGAAATGAACGCAACCTTTCTCGAGCCTTTCTCTTTCTTTCAGCTCCCAGTACAGAAGTGTAGTACACTCTGCTGGTATAGTAGAATTCCGACTTCACTAACGCTAGAGCCCTAATGGTTCAGTGGCTAGAACGTCCGATCTAGTATTCGGATGTCCGGTTGTTCCTGCATATCATCCGTACATTTTCCGAGAATCTTCGGTTACGACTTTTAAGTTATTCAAAATTTAATCTCAGTCCCTCTCGATCGATGTGGTTTTGGTGGGTAGAATCTAATGCCGACCGTGGAATCGATCGTTTCGATCACGCCAACTTGTTTGATTTCCTTCAGAAGTTTGAGTCCGTAATTATGCTTCTCGATAGCATCACAGGACATCTGAGGATTGTAACACATTATCATCGAACGTTCAACCTTCAGTTGTCGATAGATCTTAAGAGGCAACCCTTTCGATACAGGAGACTCAGTCAAGCAGACTGAGAATTTGAACACCGAAGTATACTAAGGACTGTACTACTAAAGCGCTCCAAGACTCAGGATTTTGCTGGAAAATTAGATAGCAAGAAAAGGTAAGCTGTCCTGTTTTCAAACTATTTAAATCATTTTAAGTTTTCAATGAAATCAATGTTTTATAAAGGAGCTGTGGAACGAAATTTATCAAAATTTAAACAGATGAAACCGCCACCATATTGACTGAAACATAAAATAACTACTCACAACAGTTGAAGAAGGTATAAGCAAGACAACAAACGCAAAAGGAGGCTCAGATAGACAAACTTGAAGAAGATTAAAATGGATTACAATTGCTGGTTTGCACTTGACATCACAGCAGCCATATTGGTGGTGTGTTAGGGTAAAGAACAAAAGCATTTCTCTCCTCCGGGAACTAAACCCTATTTTCATGTAAATTCTTCAAAAAAAAAAATTCTATTGTAATGACCTCCAACACACCACCAATATGACCGCCTTGTCACGTGGTTCCAAGCCAAGAATAGAGGTTTTTGAAAACTTGTTGGCCTAAAGTTCATTCTTTTTGCCTGTAACTTTGATGAAAATGTAATGCTTCGGGACAAATTTGTTTACATGAAACAGTGATGTTGTTATTTTCAAGTAATATTTCTTCACTTACACTAGGTTCTACTGAGGATCGCATAACTGAGTAAAATCTCGCATTCTGATTGGTTAACGAAGCGAGGTATGTAGTGTGGAATTGCGAGTTGAAAACGAAGCTAAGCAATATTGTTTCCCATCTACATGTAGGTAACAACTATCGTCAAATTCTAACACAACACAACTGCAAAAAAGGTTTTCTACAATGTCATTTTAAAATGTTTTCAAAACCATTGTCACCTTTTTGAAGAGTTCAAAACAAACAAAAGCGTTTTTATAGTGAGCCTGAGGTTCTTCCTTGTTTTGAACTGAACTACAAATTCTCGAAGAGGCATAAAAAACCTCTTTCGCTCGCGACAACGAGAAAAGAAGAAAATCTTGAGAACACGGCCCAGAAAATGGCAAGCCAAAGTTCAACCAAACAAAACAGAGAAGCGACAACAGAGGAAGTGCAGGGGTCGATTGTCACATACATTGTACAGGAGAAGAAATAAATACCTTCAGAGACGACATGGCCCCTCAGTGAAAACACGAAATAGAGTACGCTGCTTGCAATCGTCCTGAATCGTGATACTTAGAAAAGTACAAAACAGAGCTGAACTTGAACAGCATTTCTAAAACATTTCAAGGTACTTACCATATATCAATCGCGACGTTAAACTTTAAGTGCTTTTGCTTGGACACTTCATTTCTTTCAGTTTTGCCGCCAATGAGGTAAAAGGTGTATATTATTTTCCTTCTCGAGCAAATGACCAATTTAAAAAAAGATGTTATAGATAAACGGCTTGTAAATTCAGTGAAATACCTCTATTTATCCTTAAGATTAGTGTGAAGCTTGTTTACATGTAAAAGAGTTTGAAAACAAATGTGAAAAGAAGCACAAGGTACAAAAAAAGTTGTCGAAGGGTCAAACGTGTATGACTGACCTTGCTTCCTATTCGCTAATGCAAAGACAGTTCTGACAGTTGACTTTGAAATGGCTTCCTGGAGCGCGCGCTCAGGATAAAAACAAACAATATTATTGCCGTTTTCTTTTTTTTTCTGATTTTTATTTAGTTATGCGATTCAAGGAAAATCCATTACCTGACGAGGGAATTCCACATTAAATTGCACTTGAAAACCGATATCACACTCATCGCTTCGCGATTCGTGCAATATCGGTTTTTGCGTGCAATTTAACATGGAATTCCGTCGTCAGGTAATGAATTTTCCTATAGAATAAGGACTTGTAATTGGCATTATGTACAACTAAAACTTTGCTTGTCCAACCTACCAAGATGATTTCTTAGTGGGACATATGTCCTTTTAAGAGAAAAAAAAAATGTTCACAGCCCTGTACAGTGTTTTCAAGAAAATTAGGATAAAGATGTAGTATACACAGTTTGTTCTTAGAAATCATACAGTGCAAGCTCAACCTACAGATTAGTTAGTTATCTGCTGGCAGATAGACCTTTGTATGAAATTGTCCACCCGAACCTCATCCTCATTTCTTTACGTTTCCTCAATAGAGCGTAATGCGGGAAAGGTCTATTAGTGACTAATCTGTAGGTTGTGTGCACGGAGGGAGGTGGGGGAGGGAAGATACTTCCCATACATTCTCTTAAATGAAATAGAAATGATGTTCTCACAACTTGCAAAGCAATCATCAAGGGTCTTGCCAGCAGTTTTGTGTACTGATGTTGCGCATTGCATCATAAACAAAAGGTACAATGTAAACGGTTTTGAGAAGGAACAAAATCATGGTGGTTGAAGGCGGGATTGCTTCTCACTATTGCATTTCGTTTATTTTGGTAAATTGCAACTTTACTGATTTTATGTCGCTTTTCAGACGTATTGTATGTTGTGGTCTTTCTTTTTTCTCCTTGTAGAGTTTGGAATATGCAACATATAGCTTGTGAACAGGCTTTCTGTTTGGGGGAAGGGCAAAAAAGTTGGGAGGAGGGGGAAGGGAAAGGGGGAGAGCCTTAAGACAAACCTTTGAGGCCGCTATTCCACCCTCTTGTCTATTAATTGCTGGTCTTCTGTCAGCAAGATTGTCAATTAATGTAGTCAGTTTTGCATGTAAAAAGGGGGTCAGGAGGCAACACTTGACTTTTACCTGGTGCCAAAATGCTGCTTGTTCCAATGAGTTGTTTGTCTGGTGGTAGATTATGTGCTGGAGTGTAAGCTTTGACTGAGCAAAATTGTGGTTTTCCCTCCCATTTAAAAGTGAGAGGTCATGACATGTATACTGATTGTCTGAGGTTATTGTTGTCATTGTTTCTGGTCAGTGTGATTTGCCCTCTGATGCAACAACATTATATTTTAGCTCTTTTGAAATGTATTTTTGTGGCTAAATAAGGTTATCAGTGATGTGCCAGAAGATGCCATGTTAAAGATCAAAAGACCTGTCAGTGTTCTCGCCAATAGGAGCTTGCATCAGAATCTGATGCACAGTGGGTGCCGCAAAATAGCAGCCTCATAGGTTTCTCTACTGGCTCTTCCCCTTCCCCTCTCACGATTTTTTTAACTTTCCCCAAACAGAGAGCCTGTACTGTGCACAGGCTATGCAACATAATACATGTATTACAGCAACATATAGCTGAAACAATCGCCGAAGAGTTAAGATATTGAGAAGTGTTTTGCTGCAAACCTAAGGAAAGTTAAGGCTGCTTTAATGTAAAGAGCTTTCGGCACTGGATGTAATTTGTTTATTGGGCTCATTTGAATTTTGACTTTTCAATTAAGGTGTTTACTGATTCCAATAAACGAAGTGAAATAGAGTACTAAAGTGTGACGTCATAAAAATGACATTTGTGGAATTATGGGATTTGTCAGGATATTCTGAAAGAACAATGTCCAAGAGGCCTACTTGCCAAAAATGAGCATTTCGGGGCAAATTGTCTCTGAGATCGTAGCCCAGTTATGTTTAGAAAACTCCATACAAACCCTTCTAAATTTTTTTGCGTCGACCCAAAAAAACATTAAAAGGGTTTGTATGGAATTTTCCGAGTATAACCGGCTAACATCTCAGAGACAATTTGCCCCGAATTGCTCATTTTTGCAAGTAGGCCTCTCGGACATTGTTCTTTCAGAATATCCTGACAAATCCCATAAAATCAGAAATTTCATTTTTATGACGTCATCACTTTAGTACTCTATTAAATGTTATCACTGAATTGTGAATATGTACACAATGTAAGCTCATATTATAAAGCTCTCCTGAATAGATTTAATTCTGATAAATCTGGCACTTTCTCAAGTAATTGTTATCTCACAACTACTATTATAATAGTATTCTCTTCACCCGGAAAAATAAATGTATCTATAAAGTTGACCAATTCGATCAATAGTTCAGCACGCATTGTTGTTGGTTAAGAATTTACACAGTAATGCAGGTAGTGTCGCTTCGATTTTGCAAGGACAAATACGATATGTGAGAAAAACAAAAAGGCATGAGCTACATTTTTTTCAGTTATTGGATATTATTCTCTTTGCTGGTTCGCTTTTCACCTCTGAACTACCACACAAGGTGACTGCTTTGCAAGTTGCGAAAGTGTTTTTCAGTCCGTATAGTGTACGATCCCCACGAAAATTTATGGTTTGAATTTTAAATTCAACATTAGCTTTTAAACCCAACTCTTCTATTTGACCTTGCTCGCTGTGTATTTTCAACTCGCTTCATCAAATTACAGTTACATAGTAGAACTATACAATTTTCAACTCAACGCTGTGAATAAAACTATACATACACTGGACAAATTTTCCTACATTGCTACTTTTTATAAGCTTGAATGCCTGAGCCAATACTTTTCTACTTACCGAGTCACATTTCAAACTTGACCATGTATATTTTCAACAAAACTTATGAATTTTTGTTTACACTACAGTGATCATTGATCAAGACAAGGGAGCTCCCCCCCCGCCCCAGAAGCCTTTGTCAGAGTGGGTGGTTCTTTAGTCCATTGTGCTTTAAGCGCAAGTGTTTGCCTGCGCCTTCTCACATGTGTAGTGTTCATTTCAAGTGATCTGTAATGAAATTTTTGATTGTCTGATTTGATCAGAATCTCTGATTGCCCGATCACAAAGACAGTGGCCATAAAAAACAGTCCAAAGACAGTTAAGCTCATTCAAAAGGTATTACTATTAAGGGAAGAAATACACACTCCAGTAAAAAGACTCATATTATCTTTAGAAAAACGATAAGCTAAAGTCTACTAAGTCACAATGCAATTATCTATAGTTGATGCACCTCATTCTTATAATTTTGGATCTGTAAATCACTATCTGTGATAATTTAATATCCTGCAAAGAAAACTACTAAACGAGTTAGGCCCAGAATGATACAACATTGCAGAAAAACATTACATTAAAGGACTAGAGAAAATCGCTTGAAATATTCAAATCTAGAAGGCACTTTAGAGAAAATTAGAACCCTTATTCAGCCGTAATAAAAAGCTTTATGCTTTAAAAGAGGTCAAAGAAAATGCTCTTGCGTCAGAGGACAAATCCTGTCGACAAGAAACAGAAACCACAGTAAATCAATATGTGTTCCATGACCTCTCAGTGTGAAACAAGTAGCAAAAATCACATTTGTTCAGTGAAATTGTAGAACCTTCCAGAGCATAATCTACCCAGCAGGGGAAAAAACTTATTGGAACGAGCAACATTTTGGTAGGAGGTAAAAGTCATTTTAATAGGCCTACCAACCAACCCCTTTTATTACTGTGCGCTTGATAAACATGCTATGGCAGATCCCATGCCAGCCACGATAGAATCAGGTAAATCCCACTATTTACAGTAGTGTGATTTGAATACCCCACTCGATACATGAATCTGCCAAAATCACCCAGCATGCAAAGAAAGTAGAGTCCGATAGCCCAGGGCTAGTGGATTTTGCTCTCAGACTAGTGAGTTCTGTTATTAACTTGTCCGATGGGCAAGTGAAGTTTTTTGAGGAATTCAAATTACAGAAGTACTGTCAAATCAATCTGCTCATCAAAACATTTTTGGGGCTAGCTGAAATGATGTTTGGGCTAGTAAATGTTAGCTTCAGCTGTAAAAATGACTTTCTTTGCACCCTGTCACCATACTGATAGGAATCTAAGCAAGTGCAAACTCTGCCGCCATGTTTGTGCAATATGCACGAAGCACGATGGACTAAAGAGCCACCCACCCGACAAAGGCTTCTATTGTCTTGACCCAGGGAGGCTCCCTGGTCTTGATCAATGATCACTGAAGTGTGAACGAAAATTCACAAGTCGTGTTGAAAATACACATGGTTGAGTTTGAAATATGACTCGGTAAGCGGCAAAATGCCCTGAGTATTGGTTTAGGCATTCAAGCTTGTAAAAAGTAGCGATGTTGGATAATTTGTCTGGTCTATAGTTTTATTCATAGCGCCGAGTTGAAAATTGCATGGTTCTACTATGTAATTTGATGAAGCCAGTTGAAAATACACAGCGAGCGAGGTCAAATAGAAGAGTTGAGTTTAAAAGCTAAGGGACGCGAGCATAAAAACGTTTTCTTCTAAAGGAAGAGTGTCAAATTTTGAATTCAGCTATAAAATTCAAGTACCGAGGTTAGAGATTTAAATGATGCATTTAAAATTGAAACCATGAATTTTGGCAGGGATCGTACGCCATAAGCCTGACTTTGTCTCTACCCCCTGGTGTGCACCAAGTATGATTTCTAAGAGGAATATCAAACTGTGTTCCATGCAATTCTGTATTTGTCCTTGTTTTCTTGAAAACAATGCATAGTGAAACAACTATTAGAATTGGTTTTTGTGATTGGAATAATCAAGGTCTCAGTAAGTGTTATCAGCCTCAGCCTTCGGCTCAGCTGATGTCATTTAGTCAATCCTTTCCCTTGATTATTTCTGGGTATCACAAAACCTCGTCCCACACCATTTATTGTTTAATGTTAAAAAAGTGAACTAAGACTGTGGTGGCACAGCCCCTGTACATTAATTTGTAAATACTCAGTATCTTACATTTCAGTGGGTAATTAAGGCAGTAGTGACAGTTAAAAGTAATTAAGTGGTGAGAACTTCATTGATTCCTGATTTTCCTTTCAGTACTAGGCAAACATCTTAGGAGCACTATGCAATATTGTGCAGGTTAGTGACACTGGGGTTGAGGGGTTTGTACCAGAAAATAGAAGAAAAGTCAATGTTACTGAGAATTTGTAATTACATGTAACAACAAGTGCTGAAAAGAAAATAGAATACCTTATTATTTATTTGATAAAGTGCTCAACCTCAAGTAACTGCCCACCTCCAATAACCCTCCACCTTATAGGCAGAAAAAAAATGAATTATCTCCTAACCTCGAATAAGTGCCTACCCCATACCAGCTAGATTGAAAAAGACTAAGTTCTACTAAATTAAGAGACCAAGTTTTCTTAGTACAGTATTTTAAAGAAATTTTCAATGAACAGTTAAAAATCTGCTTTGGAACTCAAACAAAATTACTCTATCTCCAGCAAAATTACTTTTGGTGAGAACTTTGAGAATTCATTAAACACCCAGCCCAAATACATGTATTAAAGTGACCAACTTGAATAATAACCCACTCACAAGGTGCAAAACTTTAGTGAGCACCCAGGCAAGGCACTTAATCAAATAAATATGGTATTTTGTTTTGGGACCTCTTCATTGGAGTGGTACATGCAGTCGCGTTTTCCAGTAGGTGTAGTGCTTGATTTATAAACACACAAGCTGTTTTATGAAAACTGCATTGACAAAATAGATTTGCAATTATTGAGAATCTATTTTATACCAATACAGCATTACATTTCATTTCACCCTTCATTCATTCGGCTTTGCTTTTTCAAAAACACTGTATCGCAGCTCCAGGTTTTGTCCAAATTACCTTTAGTTAAAATGTTTTGTGCATTTAAGATAATATTATTTTGAACTACTGTGCAAATTAACCTTTTGAAAAAATAATGTATGAAATAGCTGTACGTATGATCTGAAGATAGTTTATCTACAGTGTATATGTAAACTGTTAGAGCTTTTTACCGATACAGCAGCCATATTGAATTAATTCGATTTAAGGAGTATTATAGGATGTCCTGGGGGCATGAGAACATTTTAGTTTGTATTTTGGAGTGCTTTCAGGACATTTTTTCGTAAAGTTTTCTTAGAATAAGATTGTAATGGGAAAAAAGATTCTTGTGTCCTGTTTGGATGTAATAATGATCACCTTTTTCTAGTTTAGCATTAGAAATATGGTCTTTCACCGTATATTTCTGGGGAAAAAGGTGATCATGATTACGTCCAAACAGGGCACAAGGATCTTTTTTCCCATAAGAATCTTATTCTAAGAAAACTTTAAGAAAAAAATGTCCCGAAAAGCGCTCCAAAATACAAGCGAAATGTGCTCATGTCCCCTGGGCATCCTATAATACTCCTTAAATTGAATTAATTCAATATGGCCACCGTATTGGTAAAAAGGTCTATTAGTACCCTTATTTTATTCGGCTGTTGATAGTAATAATGTTATTGAGGACAATCGCCTGTCTTTTTCCTTCAATTCCCAATTTATTTTTGTGCATCCTTCACAGCAGGTATTTCAATACCAGAAATTTCAAACCCATTGAATAACTTCAAGGACACTTTGGAGGATTCTTGCTGATCTCAGCAAGACTGTTCTTTGAAATGCAGTGCCAACTCAATCCCAGAATTATTTATGTTTTTTCAGTTAAACCTCCAGGTCTTCAGAATAGTACCCAGTGCTCCAAAACAAAAGGGGCAACTTTTACACCTTCATCTTCCACAAGTAGTATCTTCATGCCAGATGAAGATACTAAGTCTTGTTGACTATACTTGTTGTTGATCTCTTGTTCGATGTCCACCCTTTTGTCACAAGGACATGCAATATCAGTGATGACTCAATTTTTGTTCTGTTGGTCCACACACACGATGTCAAGGCAATTGTGATCCAGTTTCATTTCTGTTTATATACAGAAATCCGAACGAAATTTGAAAGTCTTATTATCCCTAACATCACATTATTATTATCATTATTATTGTTGTGGTTGATGATGTTATTATAAGCATGGGTAGTAAAGAGGTTCATACACATGTACAAAAATAAACTACCTTAACCACTATTTTGGGCACTAATTTGTGGTTATTGCTCACTTTTTTCAATGACTGTGCTTTGCAGATTTTAGTAAAACAGATGAAGGTGCGAACAGATGGTTAAGGAGACCCTGTAACAGCTAGATGCCAGCTCCTTGATTAATTCTTCCAAACCCCAGAGTTTAAGGAGATCCACCTACAAGCCAACCACCCTTTAGTTCACATGCATGGCCATTGTCGTTGATTAGCAGTGGAGCTAGTTGTCACACCAGTACATCCTCCTCCACTGCAGCCTCCCTCCCCACATTCTCCTTTACTGTAAGGAGTGGCAGTGATGATGGACATAGGATGGAGAATGGATGGATTACTCTCTAGTTGTTGCCATTGTTTGATTAAATTTAATATCTTCACTTTGAATTCTGTTCTAATTTTTGCAAAACTTTTTTTTAGAAAAAATTGAAATGTTTTGAAATCACTCATTCTGAATATTTAAATCAACCTTGCAACTGTACATTGTATATTTCTTTGAATGAATTGTCAACATGTTCGAACACTTTTTAGAGTTAGGTTTATCAACTGACACAACTTTGCACGTTTTCCTGTCAGAATTATCAAACTTTGTTCCTGTATTTGAACTTTAAAATAAATGATGTTACGCGAGTTAAAGCCTGTGTTTTTCCCTCTTGCGTTGGGCAATTAGTTAAAGTGAATAAGACTGGGGCGGTGATAAAAATGGTAGAGTGGTCGGAACTGTTAAAATCATTTTCAGTATAATACTGCAACCCCACAAATAAGTCCCTGAAATGCAATGAAGTGCAATGCTGACCAGGAAACATATCGTGAGGTATCAATGGAGTGAAAAGGCGGTATCAGTTTCTTCAATATCATTGCATGGAAATTGAAAGTATCGTCGAATTTAGTACAATAAGCGTGTTGCAATTTTCGCGTATCAGGGAGTTTTGCCACGATTTCAACATCGGTAATTTCATGAACCGTGGAATTCCAGTGGTGTTTGAGTCCCTGGTATTTCACGTACCATGGAATTTCGGGGAAGTGAAAACACTCGAAACTTCACGTATCGTGGAATTTCATCGCATTCTACGGAATAGAATCTTCACGTGTCGTGAACGTTTGGAGTATAAATTAGGATAACACAATCCGTAGCGTGGAATTTTAGTGAAAATGAAAGGCAAAAATTGTAGCGTTCGTCAACGGCACTCCATGATTCTCGGCAAATCTAGAAAAATAAGGACGTTTACAGGTCTTGACACGCCGCGTTTCAATGACGTGTCCGGATATCGGATATTCCATGCCGCGGAAAAAGTTCGATTCAGCAAAAATACGGGTCCTGATACTCCATGTATACGCTGCGTGTCCGGAACCCGATACCTCTCCATACTTCCGTTTTTCTCAAGAATACGGGTTCGTATCGACTAATATCGGGACCATGACACAACTCATTTCACACAGTGGATGTGAACAGTGCAGGACAGCGTTTTGTCAGACAGATAAGGTGATACTGAAAAGTGTGGGAGTTTGAGAACATACCGACAAGTCAGGCAAGGTAGTCAAATATTTGGCAAATGTATACTTTCACTACCTTAAACAACGCCTTAAAGAGTACAATCAAAACTTAACATTTTCTTCCATTACTGTGCCTGCCAGTACCCTCAAATTTCTTCCTGAAGGAGCGCAAGCAATATTGGAAGCCAAAGGGCTCATTGCAGAGAAGTAGTAGTACACTGGCTAAAATTCTTTTAAGGTAATACTTAAGGAAATATCATATCATGACCTCGACATGACATGCACGTTCAGGGAGTCTACTTGCCTAGTCCCTAGGCCTCATTATTCTGTGCGGCCGATGCGTTTCGGGTCACGTGGTCTGAGAAAGTTTTTGAGGCCTAGACAAACTCGGAGAAGTGAGACATTTTGTCTCCCTTGGGGCCGAGCTTTTGGAAGCGGGCGAGCTGTCAATAACTTTTCCGCACTGATGAAAGATGTCCAGCAGCCATGGAGAGTACAGAGGATAAAGAGTTAAACCGAGCATTTTTATTCTATGCACGTTTTCATTGTTGAAAGTCCTTTGGCCTTTCTTTTTCATTTATCTCATTAAACTAATTTGAACTTCATTTCATCTCAAAAACTATTTGTAAGCTAAGCAAAACAAAGTAATTAATTACATAACAAAGTATGACAATTCTTGCAATGTTTTGGTCTTGAGTTTCCTGAGAAAACAACAAGAAGAATACACCACATATCCCATCCCCCCTATGAAGAGGACCCAGGTGAAAGTTTGGTTCCAAAACATAATAAAGGTCTCTGTAACAATGAGGTATATTTGATAAAAATCCTGGTAAAATGCTTTAAATACAATCATCCATTATAAAAATTTACCAACCAATCCATCTAGGAGTAACCTTCCTTCTCGTGCTGGGAAGTTAACTTTACAAGAAACTTCTTGGACATAGCCTACGTTGAACACTTTGTGGGCTATAATAAACACTTACTAACACTGGTCACGCAATAAAAAGGTAATTTTGTTTCCCTCGAATCTCGATGTTTGAGATTCACGGGAAACAAAATTAACTGTTTCCCTCGAGTCCAGTCATAACGATTTATCGTAGCATCGATCATGATATCATGAATACCGACTGGATTTAATTCACTCAAGTAAACTCGGTGATTTCAGCCATGTCGGGTCGTAAACCTTCTGATGTTGAAAGTGAACAAGGAAATGAGCAAGATAGTGAGAAAAATACCGTACAGCAGACAGAGATAGTGAAAAACACGGTCCAGGACCCTGGTGAGACCACCAGAACTAGCTGTACTGAGCAATGGTTTGGGTGAAAAAAGAGAGGTGGAGACAAGGGGAAAGACAAAGAAACGTGCAAGAAAAGGTAAGGCCCTGGAAGTTTATGTTTGAGAATCGATACAGCCTGAAAACATTTCATTTTGCAGCAGACAAAATGTGTGTTCATGTTTAGACTTTTCTTGCTAGTCCTCTTCATAACAGATACTATTTGATTTAATTTAAAAAAAAACTTTTTAACAACTTATATCATTACCACTTGTCGATCAGGCTGTTTTATGCATAAATTTAGCACAATGAAAGATGGTTTACTAAAACAATTTCAAGGTATTCAATCAATTGAGAAAGTCCAGCGCAGAGTGGCTTGTTTTGTTGAGACGTGCACTCAGTGCACGCCAGGTACCATCACAAATTTCCTAGAGGAGCTAAAATGGCCATCATTGGAACAGAGAAGGAAACAAACAAGATTAACACATTGTATAAGATCGTAAATGGCACCCTGGCAGTAGAAATTCCAAATTACTTCAGGCAGAAGGAACGCCAAACAAGAAATTACCACCCACTTAAATTTATAAACCCTGGTTGCAGGACTAATATATATAAATATAGCTTTTTTCCCAGATCCGTTAAAGAATGGAATGAACTTCCAGGAACAATTATTGAAGGTACCAACACAGAGGCCTTCAAGCTTGCTTTGAGGGCCCTGGCCAGGCCCCATTGAGCATTTGAACATTTTTTCTTTTTATATCACCAGCACAAATTCACTGCACTGTTTTTTAGTGCACATAGCACGAGCACAGCACATATCTGCTGAAGATGGTCTGTACTGCCCTTTGCAGATCAGACATTTAGATTTAGAAGATCGTGGAAAGCTATTACTGGAACCTTTTTTTATTGACTACTAAGTAATATACAAAATTGAATTTGATGCAACTTGTAAAGTGATGGTATAAAAAAAATGTTTGTCGATATTATGGTTTAAGTTTACATAACTGAAAAAAATCCTAATGAACGACATAATATTTGAGAAATCAAAAATTTCAGGACGCTCTGAAAAATGAATTTGATGTGGAAGTATTTTGTGCTATTTTCCAAAAACTGACCGTGTGCGTCAACATGCTCGTCAGTTATTACCAACACACTTTAATCGTAAAATGACATATTCCTTAAAATACTGCATTAATCCCCCAGAGGGCCAGGGGTACACAACCGTTTCCATACCTGACCTCTAAACTCTGTACCCATTTTCAGACCTGGCCTATATGTTTAAGCAAAGTTATGTCGTCATTACTTAGATGAGAGCACACAAAAATTTTTTTCAAGGGTTATCATCCTTGGTTATCATCCTTGAAATTTTGTTCTTATTCATTTGTAATTGAATTGATAAATACGTTGATACATACCCTTAGTTGCCTCGAAAAACATAGCCAGTTCCAGAGCAAAAACCTATACCCATGTTCAGACAAAACGGCACAAAAACCATACCTGATAGGGCGGCACAGACCTATACCTATAGCCTATATAAGGGAGTACCCCTCTGAACTAATGCTCGTTAATTTAAGCTAATTGAAACGGCCAAAAAACCAAGGAACTTGGTTTGAAACATCGCTGCAAAACGACTTCAGTAGAAATGTTACGCATTTTACAACATTCATTCAACCTTGTCTTGCAACGCATCAAATGGCTACAGTTTGTGTCAAGTTGAGTGTATATTGACTAAACTCTTATTGGATAAATTAGGCGGGAGACACACCATACAGAGAAAAAATATTGTGATTCTTGATGACCTGAACTCGGACCTGATTACCAAGGGTTATGAGGGGAGAAGGTTGCTCAGAATTCTTGGCAGTTTTGACCTTCACAACGTCATTAAAGACCTTACAAGAACAACCGTAACCACTTTTACCGTACCTGACCTGATCACCATTGATACAACTAAGATAATAGCATCAGGGACATTTGACCCAGGCCTCTCCGACCACTGCCTCGTCTATGGCATCATAAAGCTACAACGCAAGAGGACACCCCCGAAATATATTTCTGCAAAAAATTATAAAACTAAAACATGTTTACTACTGCCCAATGGTCTGTAATCGAGGCATTCGATGACCCTGACGACATCACATGGACATGGGAAACCCTTTACAAGGGCATAGTGAATGATCATATTTCCCTGAGGAGAGTTAAAATATGCTCAGACAGCCTACCATGGATTAATTCTCATATTCTCAAAACCATGAACAAATGCTATAATAGACTCAAGCGAGCAAAGGAGACCAGGTCTAAAGAACTGTGGGACGAATACAAGAAGCTAAGAAATGAAGTAACCAGGCTTCTCAGAGAAGCAGAGGCTAACTACTGGACAAAACATAACACAGAAAGCAGCAAAGACTTTTGGAAGCTTGTTGCAAGAATTATCCACAAGAAGAAACTGAATAATATTGGGCCCATTGCTGATGATCAGGGTAACATGATCCTTGATGATTTGAAACAAAGCTGAGGCCATGAACGACTGTTTTGTGGCAGTAGGACCAAATCTGGCCTCACAAATTAACCTAATACCCTACTCTCAGGACACAGAGCATATCTAAAGAATCACTCCTAATCTCCCCGGTGTTAATCTGAACAAAACAGACCTCCTTAGACGTATCAAGTCTATCAACCCTAAGAAAGCCTCCGGCCCTGACTCGATTGCCCCCCCCCCCCCGCGAGACCTACATCTTATTGGTGGGGCCTCCGCAGAAGGCCTCCTCACTGTCTTTAGACATAGCCTGCGTAACTCCACTTTTCCATCCCAATGGAAAGTCTCCAAAATGCTCACTTCCAGAAAACATTCGACACAGTATCCCACGCAATACTAAATTATAACCTTCAAGCTATGGGATTCAGCAGAGATTTGGTGAAGTGGATGGTCAGCTATTTGAAAGACAGGAAGCAATTCGCAGAAGTTAATGGCTGTTACTCACAAACTAAGCCAATTACTTACTCGAGTTCCACAGGGATCTCTGCTAGGTGCCAGGCTCTTCACATACTATATCAATGACCTTAGTGACTCAGTAAATGAAGGCAAACTGGAACTGTATGCAGATGACATGACGCTGCACTTCATTGGTAACAATGTTGATGTGGTAGTTGATGGCGTAAACAAAGCCCTCTCAGAGATCTCACTCTGGTGCAGAAACAACAAATTAACTATGCACGATGGGATGTCTGAGGCCATGACCATATCCCACAGTCCTTTCTGCGGCCCACGAAGACCCATTAAACAAGGACATAACATTGAACATTGTTTATGAAACAAGATGTCTGGGGCTTATTGTTGACTCCCAGCTCACTTGGAGCACCTCTGCAAATCCTTTTGAAAGAAAGTCAGACAGCTTAAAAGATTCCAATATTTACCAACAAGTACACTAGAAAAAATTTACTTCAGTAGCTTGATCATATTCACGCCAGAGCAGCTAAAATCATCCATAGACTGCCTTGGGACATATCAGACCAAGAGGCCCTAGAAAGTACTAGAAGGGAGTCACTATCAACCAATATAAAAAGGAACTACTAACCTTGATGTATAAAGTAAATAGTAACATTACCCCAGTTAAAATAACAAACCTCTTTAGTATTGCCAATCCACATTATAACCTCAGAAATGGTAATCACTTCATTCTACCCAGATACAGCCTGCACATTGGCCGAAATTCCTTAAGGTATAGAGGCCCACTAGTCTGGGAACTAAGTACAACCTCTCTCAAACAGTCCCCCTCCCTCAAAAACTTTAAGAACCTTTTAAAACAACGTAATCATAAGAACTTTCTGAAAGAAGCATGTATGGTCTCTCATAAGAATCAAGACTTCGAATATTTTTAGCAAAGTCATTTTATCCAATTTAATAATAATATACCTAGATAGTTTTAGCTGTATTCCTTTTCTTTTTTGTTTCCTTTTTTTCCTCATAATTCTATAAGATGTTTTGTAATTTTCCTTTTTACCCTAGACAGCAGGTCCACATCAGCCTCTGGCTGCCTTTAATCCAACCTGCTATATCAAATAAAGCGTGTATGTATATATGTATGTACCATACATGAGAGTTTATTCTTTGGATTAAAAACAAGTTTGCCTTGGACCGGTGACATGCGCAACATGTACAGATTTTAACCCAACTGAAAAGAAACAGTGAGCCTTCTTAGTTCCACCACAAGTTTGAACGTTTGTGTTGAAATACGAGTTATTACTTTCCAACCCATTTTACAGCAATGTTACAAAACAAGTTACACGTTTTGTTTGCCCCCTTGAACACCGTAACTCAAGAAAATTGCTTAGTGGGTCATCAAACAAACGAATACAGAGGATAAATTATTGCTTGTAGGAAGTAGAGGTCGCAGTGGCAGTCCTAAGCCCTAGGATTTCACAGTAACTATCCTTTACAGTACCATGTCATTACCATGATCTTAAAATAACAGCACCCAAAACCAGTTTCCCAGTAACATGTCCTGATACATTCAGACTGAGGGATCAAAGTACACAAATTTTTCTTTCTTTTTTTTGTATTTTTCCACTCAGATTCTTACCTAGTACAGCAATTCTTTATGACTCAGCTTGTGTATAAACGAAATTTGAAAAAAACCGTTACCGTTTCTCTATCGTCCACCATCTTGAATCATTCCCATGTTACTGATGACTCACGCATGAATAATGTTTTACAGTTAACAGGAGCGATTATTATGGCTTCCAGTGCCAAGAAAAAAAAACATGACTCCAAATATTTAAAAAGAATTAGAATGTAGTCTTTTAGTGACAATTTCACTGTGAGATTGATAATGACGCCCGAATCTCTTTATGACAAGACAAGATCTCTAGCAAACATTTCAACTGAGTATACTTACTCCTTTAGTTGGATCAGAGAGGAGTCTTGAGTTTTGACACTTCAGTGCACACATTTAACACTTAAATTAACCATCTTCTAACATTTCAATAGACATCCTAATTTTGTGTAAATAATAGTACACAGTGATGTTCCTTAATTTTAAAGTATGTTTAATTTAATATGTTTCCACAAAACTGCTACTCTACAGTGAAAGAAAAAGTGAGTCCCATGAATTTTCATGGAGCCAAAAAAGATGTTACCGATAGTTTGCCATTATCACTGAACACGGAAGAGAAAAATTGTGATCCATAAGATTTGAAATCCTAGGGCTTGGTTTTTTGAAATGAGATAGGTGCAAACGTCAGGATTGTGAAAAAAGCAGGATAGCTTCCAAAAACCACCATCTGTCGCTGTTGTCACTTTTCTCCCTGTTGTCAGTGCTGTCACTCTTGTCGCTGTTGTAACTATTATCAAAGTTGTCACCATTGTCACTGTTGTCACTGTTGAGACTGTTCCCACTGTTGTCACGGCTGTCACTGTTGTCGCTGTTGTCACCATTGTTCCTGTTGCTGCTGTTGTCACTCTTTTCACTGGTGTCACCGTAGTCACTGTTGTCACTGTTCTCACTGCTGTCACTGTTGTCGCTGTGGTCGCTGTTGTTAATGTTAGCGCTATTGTCACTGTAGTCGCTGCTGTCACTATTGTTCCTGTTGTCACCTTTGTGGTTGTTGTAGCAGATGTGAATGTCGTCGTTGTCATTGTTGTGAGTGTTATCACTGTTGTCACCTTAGTGGTTGTTGTCGCAGTTGTCACTGTTGTTGCCGTTGGCACTGTTGTGACTGTTGTAACTGCTGTTGCTGTTGTCACCTCTGTGGTTGTTGTCGCAGTTGTCACTGTTGTTGCTGTTCTCACTGTTGTGATTAATGTCACTGTTTTTGTTATAACTTTGGTTGCTCTTGCCACTGTTGTTGCTGTTGTCACTGTTGTTGCAGTTGTCACTGTTGTCACCATTGTGGTTGTTGTTGCTGTTGTCACTGTCGTCACTGTTGTCACTCTTGTCACTGTTGTCATTGTTGTCACTATTGTTGGTGTTGTCGCTGTGTCACTGTTGTTGCTGTTTTCACTGCTCTCACTGTTGTCGCAGCTGTTACTGTTGTCGCTGTTGTCACTGTTGTCATTATTGTTCCGGTTGTCGCTGTTGTCGCTGTCACAGTTTTCACTGCTGCCACTGTTGTCGCCATTGTCACTGCTGTCACTGTTGTTGCATTTGTCACTGTTGTCACTGTAGTTGCTGTTGTCACCATTGTGGTTGTTGTCGCTATTGTCGCTGTTGTCACTGTTATTAGTATTGTCCTTGTGTCACTGTTGTCGGTGTTGTTACTGTTGTCGCCATTGTCACTGTTGTTGCTGTTGTCTTGTTGTTACCTTTGTCGTTGTTGTCACAGTTATTACTGCTGTGGCTGTTGTCACTGTTGCCACTGCTGCCTCTGTTGTCCTGTTGTCACTATTGTTGCTGTTGACGCTGTTGTTGCTGTTGTCACTGTTCTTATCACTGTTGTCTCCTTTGTCGTTCTTATCGCAGTTGTTACTGGTGTTGCTGTTGTCACTGTTGTCCTGTTGTCGCTATTGTCACTGTTCTCGCTGTTGTCACTGTTGTCACGGTTGTCGCTGTTGTCACTGATGTTACTGTTGTCGCTATTGTTTCTGTTGTCACGGTTGTTGCTGTTGTCACTATTGTCACTGATGCCACTGTTGTCCCTGTTCTCACAATTGTTTCTGTTCTCACTGTTCACTGTTGTCGCTGTTGTCACTAATGTCACTGCTGCCACTGTTGTCGCTATTGTTTCTGTTGTCACTGTTGTCGCTATTGTTGCTGTTGTAACTATTGTTTCTGTTGTCACTGTTGTTGCTGTTTTCACTATTGTTGCTGTTGTCACTGTAGTGAATGTTTTCGCTGTTGTTGCTGTTGTCGTTGTTGTCGCTGTTGTTGCTGTTGTCACTGTTGTCGCTGTTGTTACTGATGTCACTGCTGCCACTGTTGTCGCTGTTGTCACTATTGTTTCTGTTGTCACTGTTGTCTTGTTTCACCTTTGTCATTGTTGTTACAGTTAATACTGTTGTGGCTGTTGTCGCTGTTGTGACTGTTGTCACTATTGTCGCTGTTGTCACTGTTGTTGCGGTTGTAACCGTTGTCGCTGTTGTAACTGTTTTCACTGGTGTAACTGTTGTTGCTGTTGTCGCTCCTGTCCTTTTGTCACCTTTGTCATTGTTGTCACAGTTAGTACTGTTGTGACTTTTGTCACTGCTGTCTATGTCATCCTCTTGGTACTATTGATGCTCTTGTCACTGTTGTTGCTGTTGTCACTCTTCTTATCGCTGTTGTCTCCTTTGTGGTTCTAGTCGCAGTTGTTACTGGTGTTGCTGTTGTCACTCTTGTGACTTGCCGCTGTCTTCACTATTGTCGCTGTTGTCTTGTTTCACCTTTGTTGTTGTTGTCACAGTTAATACTGTTGTCGCTATTGTGACTGTTGTCGCTGTTGTCACTGTTGTGAATGTTGTCCCTGTTATGACTGTTGTCGCTGTTGTCACCGTTCTAACTGCTGCCCTGTTGTCGCCGTTGTCACTGCTGTCACTAATGTTGAAGTTGTCACTGTTGTCGCTGCAGTTGCTGTTGTCACCATTGTGGTTGTTGTCACTGTTCTCCAGTTGTCACTATTGTTGCTGTTGACACTTGTTGCAGTTGTCACTGTTCTTCTTTGTGATTCTTGTCACAGTTGTTGCTGGTGTTGCTGTTGTCACTCTTGTGACTATTGTTGCTATTGTCACTGTTGTGAGTGTTGTCGCTGTTCTCACTTTTGTCACTGTTGTAACAGTTCTCGCTGTTGTCAGTGATGTCGCTATTGTCATGGTTGTCGCTGCTGCCACTGTTGTTGCTGTTGTCACTATTATTGCTCGTCTCCATTCTCACTGTTTTCGCTGTTGTCTTGTTGCACCTTTGTCGTTGTTGTCACAGTTAATACTGTTATGGTTGTTGTCACTGTTGTCACTGTTGTTACTGTTGTGAATGTTGTCGCTGTTGTCAGTATTGGCCCTGTTGTCACTGTTGTAACTGTTTTTACTAGTGCCACTGTTGTCTTCTTTTCACCTTTGTCGTTGTTCTCACAGTCATTACTTTGGTGGGTGTTGTCACTGCTGTCTCTGTTGTCCTGTTGTCACTATCGTTGGTCTTGTCACTGTTGTTGCTGTTGTCACTCTTCTTATCGCTGTTGTCTCCTTTGTGGTTCTTGTCGCAGTTCTCACTGTTGTCACCGTTGTCACCGATGTCACTGCTGCCACTGTTGTCACTATTGTTTCTGTTGTCACTGTTGTCGCTCGCCACAATTGTCACTGTTGTCGCGGTTGTCGCTGTTGTCACTGCTGCCACTGTTGCCACTATTATTTCTGTTGTCACTGTTGTCGCTGTTGTCACTGTAGTCTTGTCACCGTTGTCCCTGTTCTCATTATTGTTCCTGTTATCACTTTTGTAGCTGTTGTCACTGTTGTCACTAGTATCACTGTTGTCACTGATGTCACTATTGTTCCTGCTGTCACTGTTGTCACTGTTGACAATGTTGTCCTGTTGTCACTATTGTTCCTGTTGTCGCTGTTGTCACTGTTGTCGCTGTTGTCACTGTTGTCGCTGTGTTTACTATTGTTGCTGTTGTCACTGTTGTGAGTGTTGTTGCTGTTGTCACTGTTGTCGCTGTAGTTACTGTTGTTGCTGTTGTCATTATTGTTCTGGTTGTCGCTGTTTTCATTGTTGTCACTGCTGCCACTGTTGTTGCTGTTGTTGCCGTTGTTACTGCTGTCGCTGTCGTCTTGTTGCTACCTTTGTCGTTGTTGTTACAGTTATTACTGTTGTGGCTGTTGTCGCTATTGTCACTGCTGTCTCTGTTGTCCAGTTGTCACTATTGTTGCTGGTGACACAGTGGTTGCTGTCGTCACTGTTCTTATCGCTGTTGCCTCCTTTATGGTTCCTGTCGCAGTTAATACTGTTATGGCTGTTGTCACTGTTGTGACTATTGTCGTTGTTTTCACTATTGTTGCTATTGTGAGTGTTCTCGCTGTTGTCACTGGTGTCGCTGGTGTCACTGTTGCCCTGTTGTCTGTGTTGTCACTGTTCTTGCTGTTGTCACTCTTTTCATTGCTGTTGTCTCCTTTGGGGTTCTTTTCGAAGTTGTCACTGGTGTTGCTGTTGTCACTGTTGTGACTGTTGAGAGTAATGTCGCTGTTGTCGCTGGTGTCACTGTTTTCGCTGTTGTCACTGTTGTCACTGTTGTCGCTCTTGTTACTGTTGTCACTAGTGTCACTGTTGTCGCTGATGTCACTAATGTTCCTGCTGTCACTGTTGTCCCTGTTGACACTGTTGTCGTGTTGTCACTGTTGTTCCTGTTGTCGCTGTTGTCCATATTGTCCCTGTTGTCACGGAATGTCACTGCTGCCACTGTTATCGCTGTTGTCACTATTGTTTCTGTTGTCACAGTTGTCCCTGTTGTCACTGTTGTTCCTGTTGTCACTATTGTTACTGTTTTCACTAGTGCCAGTGTTGTTGCCGTTGTCACTGTTGTCTTGTTGTCACCTTTGTCATTAATGTCACAGTTATTACTTTTGTGGCTGTTGTCACTGCTGTCCCTGTTGTCCTGTTGTCACTATTGTGACTGTTGTGAGTAATGTCGCTGCTGTCGCTGGTGTCACTGTTTTCGCTGTTGTCACTGTTGTCGCTCTTGTTACTGTTGTCACTAGTGTCACTGTTGTCGCTGATGTCACTAATGTTCCTGCTGTCACTGTTGTCCCTGTTGACACTGTTGTCGTGTTGACACTAGAGACCTTAAGCAGCTTCGTCGCGGACGAAGACCAGAACGACCGGAAGTCATATTTAGAAGTGTTGAAAGAGCAAAAGCCTGGGAGCAGATTGTCTCCAGTTTAAAAAGCATCCAAGCTCCAAAGTTTAGAGTTACAACTAGATCCGTACGTGATCGCTACTCACTTCTGACAACCAGAAAAGCAGAGCAGTTAAGAGAGGAGGAGAAAGCTTCAGGGACAGAACTTACACCAACAGAAATTGACTTGTTATTGGAAGAAATTTTGGAGAAAGAGAAAGCTGCTAGAGCTGAGATTGAGTCTGGAGATACCAAAAAGAGAAAAGCAGAGCAAGACAAGGCAAGTGCTGACAACATTAGAAGACTGGCAATGGAAAGGATGTCTCAGACTAAAACCAGGGAAAGTGATGTGGGAGAAACTTCTTCAAAGAAGAAAAAAACAAGGCGCAGCTTACACGAGATGCTTGAATTTCTGGAGAACAAATCTGAGAGGGACCACCAAATGAAACAAGAAGAACTAAATTTACGAAGGAGTGAGCAAGAAGCAATGACTGCTATGATGAGACAGCAACAGCAGCAACTTCAGAATTTGCAGGCTATGTTTGTAAGCCAGCAAACACAGCAAACACAAGCTATGTTGGCTCTCCTAGAAAAAGTTGTTAAGAAGTAAAGGTGACAAGGGTTTTTTCCTTGTCCCAACTTGTTGTCATTCAAAAGCCTTCATAATTATATCACTTTGTAAGGCATTGTTTATTTACAATTTGTTTGGTAGTTTTTGTTACAGTGTACTTCTGACATTAGATACTTTCCTATTTAATGTAAACAAAATGCTAATGGCCTGCTGTTGCCTATATACTTGTGTTAGTTACGTCACATCATGTTGTGATGCTGTAAAAAAACATTATTAAAGTTGTTTAGTCTGACTGGCTTCTGTACATTTGTGACATTCAGGCAAAATAATCATGAAGTGAGGGTGGGTCTAATTCAAAAAACTTGGAAGTTTCATTTCCATACAGGCATGTAGGTGCACTTCTCAGAATTGCACAGACAATATACATCTTGCCAATACTACTCAAGCCTATTTTAAGATTTTTTTTGAAGTCTATGAATTTAAAGTAGTTCACTATGTCCCCAAATAGCCATTCAACGGATTCCCTCACAGAACTCATTCTGGCATTGTACTCTTGCATCTGGGGTGTTAAAACAGCATTTCTGAATGGTTGTTGGAGTTGCACTCTGTGCGGGTAAGCTGGATCACCTTATAAGCACATTAGGTGGCCATGGGGGGAAACTGCATGGTGCTGGAGATCTTGCAGCAAGCCTGATTCAGCTAACATAGCTGCATCATGTCTTCTACCTTCTGAAAATGAAAGGTTTAGAAAACAATTAGATGCGTGGACAATGGTTGTGACCTTGTGGTGCATACTCAGTAGAGAACCTGATGGAAATTTAAGTTCTTTGCAAAAGAATTCATTCAGTATTCTAATCTGCAAAATTATATCTCTGAAGAGATCAATCACCTCCTCTTGATGGGACTTTTTCAGTACTTGATTCCTGATTTTTACCCTTTTTGACCTTTTTTTCAGGGGTCGGTTCCTGAAAGGTGGAATGACTCTATTCCAGGGATAAGTCTGCCTTATTCCAGTCATAACTTTATCCCAGGACAAAGTTATGACTGGAATAAGACAGATTTATCCCTGGATAGTGTTGATCCACCTTTCAGGAACCGGCTTTTGAATTTTTTGCCATCTTAAGTTTTTTTATTTTCTTCATCTTTCTATTTATTTTTCAGGGTTATTTTTAATTAACAATTTTAAACTGAAGTGACTACCATGCATAAATAATTCCATACATTATTATAATTATTATTACCTATTGGGCCATATAGGTTTCCTATTAACCCATTCGGTAGAGCAACAGATTGAAATTTTAATGCATGGACTCTCCTGTGTCCATTGTATACAGCCCTCTGGTGCTGTCCTGGGCGACTTATTGGTTGAACCGTGCCATCGACAAAACCAAAACAGTTGTCCAAGGGAGAGCCTTTAGCTGAAATTACGTCTGCATATTGCTGTAAATGGTTGGGGTCCATAACTTGATTGTTCCACTGAGTTAGTCTGTGGCCATGCCTGTCATAGACATAATCGAGAACAGTATTTGTTATCATGCTTAAGACCGGAACTGGCCTTGCAAATCTGTGCACCACATCACTGTATCGACAGGGGTAAGCCAGTCGCTTCAGTAGCATACATAGCCCTTCTATGCCATCGCAAACGGAACGCTGTGGGCACTGGAATGTTGGGGGAATCTGTAGCCTGTCTGCCAGCAAGCGAATGTGCCATTTCTCGACTCGAAACTTGGTATAACACTCAGCAGGATCCATTTCCCCCAAATCGAACGACGCGTACGAGTTGTAAGGAAAATCTGGATTCTTCGACTGATAAAAGTCATAGAGAAGGCAGAATTCTTCGTCATCAAACATGTCGTGGGCATATCCAACAAAAACAAAATCCCTGATGTCTTTAAACGACGACATAACTAAAACCACCACTTGTTGAGCCTCACTTGTTGACGTCTTCGTCTTTGTACAAGACGCGGGTGCTTAACTTTCAATTTTTGCCCCGAAAACGATGTTCTCGTCCCAGTGTCCTAGGGCATGCCACATCATAATTTCATTCTCGTTTTCATCCTCGACAAGGCTGCTTAAGGTCCCTACTATTGTTCCTGTTGTCGCTGTTGTCACTGAATGTCACTGCTGCCACTGTTGTCGCTGTTGTCACTATTGTTTCTGTTGTCACAGTTGTCACTGTTGTCCTGTTGTCGCTGTTGTTACTGTTACCGCTGTTGTCACTGATATCACTGCTGCCACTGTTGTCGCTGTTGTCTTTCACCTTTGTCGTTGTTGTGACAGTTAATACTGTTGTGGCTCTTTTCGCTGTTGTGACTTGTCGCTGTTGTCACTATTGTCGCTGTAGTCAGTGTTGTAAATATTGTCACTGTTGTCAATTTTGTCACTGCTGTCACTGTTGTCAGTATTGTTCCTGTTGTAGCTGTTGTAACTGTTTTCACTGGTATCACTGTTGTCGCTGTTGCCACTGTTGTCACGGTTGTCGCTGTTGTCACTGCTGCCACTGTTGTTGCTGTTGTCGCTGTTCTCACCCTTGTCGCTGTTGTCTTGTTTCACCTTTGTCGTTGTTGTCACAGTTTATACTGTTATGGCTGTTGTCGCTATTGTGATTGTTGGCGCTGTTGTCACCAATGTCGCTGTTGTCACTGTTGTGAATGTTGTCGCTGTTGTCACCATTGTCACTGCTGCCATTGTTGTTGCTGTTGTCACTGTTGTCGTTGTTGTCAGTGTTGTCCTGTTGTCACTTTTTTCATGGTTTTCGCTGTTGTCACTGATATCACTGCTACCACTGTTGTCGCTGCTATCACTATTGTTTCTGCTGTCACTCTTGTTGCTGTTGTCGGTGTTGTCACTGTTGTCTTCTTTCACCTTTGTTGTTGTTGTGACAGTTAATTCTATTGTGAATGTTGTCGCTGTTGTCCCGGTTATCGCCGATGTCACTGCAGTCACTGTTGTCAATGTTGTCAGTATTTTTCCTGTTGTCGCTTTTGTAACAGTTTTCACTGGTGTCATTGTTGTCGCCGTTGCCACTGTCGTCACTGTTGTCACCTTTGTCGTTGTTGTCACAGTTATTACTGTTATGGCTGTTGTCGCTATTGTGATTGTTGGCGCTGTTGTCACCAATGTCGCTGTTGTCACTGTTGTGAATGTTGTCGCTGTTGTCACCATTGTCACTGCTGCCATTGTTGTTGCTGTTGTCACTGTTGTCGTTGTTGTCAGTGTTGTCCTGTTGTCACTTTTTTCATGGTTTTCGCTGTTGTCACTGATATCACTGCTACCACTGTTGTCGCTGCTATCACTATTGTTTCTGCTGTCACTCTTGTTGCTGTTGTCGGTGTTGTCACTGTTGTCTTCTTTCACCTTTGTTGTTGTTGTGACAGTTAATTCTATTGTGGCTGTTGTCGCTGTTGTCACCGTTGTGAATTTTGTCACTGTTGTCACGGTTGTCGATGTTTTCATTTTTGTCACTGTTTTCACTAGTGACACTGTTGTCGCTGTTGTCACCGTTGTTGCTGTTGTCACTGTTGTCGCTGTTTTCACTCTTTTCATTGTTGTCACTATTGTCACCGTTGTCACTGCTGCCACGGCTGTCACTGTTGTCAATGTTGTCACTGTTGTCGCTGTTGTCATTATTGTCACTTTTGTCACGGTTGTCACTGTTGTCACTGCTGCCACTGTTGTCGCTGCTGTCACTATCGTTTCTGTTGTCACTGTTGTTGCTGTTGTCGCTGTTGTCTTGTTTCACCCTTGTCGCTTTTGTCAGTTAATACTGTTGTCGCTGTTGTGACTGTTGTCACTGCTGTGAATGTTGTCGCTGTTGTCCCGGTTATCGCCGATGTCACTGCAGTCACTGTTGTCAATGTTGTCAGTATTTTTCCTGTTGTCGCTTTTGTAACAGTTTTCACTGGTGTCATTGTTGTCGCCGTTGCCACTGTCGTCACTGTTGTCACCTTTGTCGTTGTTGTCACAGTTATTACTGTTATGGCTGTTGTCGCTATTGTGATTGTTGGCGCTGTTGTCACCAATGTCGCTGTTGTCACTGTTGTGAATGTTGTCGCTGTTGTCACCATTATCACTGCTGCCATTGTTGTTGCTGTTGTCACTGTTGTCGTTGTTGTCAGTGTTGTCCTGTTGTCACTTTTTTCATGGTTTTCGCTGTTGTCACTGATATCACTGCTACCACTGTTGTCGCTGCTATCACTATTGTTTCTGCTGTCACTCTTGTTGCTGTTGTCGGTGTTGTCACTGTTGTCTTCTTTCACCTTTGTTGTTGTTGTGACAGTTAATTCTATTGTGGCTGTTGTCGCTGTTGTCACCTTTGTGAATTTTGTCACTGTTGTCACGGTTGTCGATGTTTTCATTTTTGTCACTGTTTTCACTAGTGACACTGTTGTCGCTGTTGTCACCGTTGTTGCTGTTGTCACTGTTGTCGCTGTTTTCACTCTTTTCATTGTTGTCACTATTGTCACCGTTGTCACTGCTGCCACGGCTGTCACTGTTGTCAATGTTGTCACTGTTGTCGCTGTTGTCATTATTGTCACTTTTGTCACGGTTGTCACTGTTGTCACTGCTGCCACTGTTGTCGCTGCTGTCACTATCGTTTCTGTTGTCACTGTTGTTGCTGTTGTCGCTGTTGTCTTGTTTCACCCTTGTCGCTTTTGTCAGTTAATACTGTTGTCGCTGTTGTGACTGTTGTCACTGCTGTGAATGTTGTCGCTGTTGTCCCGGTTATCGCCGATGTCACTGCAGTCACTGTTGTCAATGTTGTCAGTATTTTTCCTGTTGTCGCTTTTGTAACAGTTTTCACTGGTGTCATTGTTGTCGCCGTTGCCACTGTCGTCACTGTTGTCACCTTTGTCGTTGTTGTCACAGTTATTACTGTTGTGGCTGTTGTCCCTGTTGTCACTGTTGTTGCTGTTGTCACTCTTCTTATCGCTGTTGTCTCCTTTGTGGTTCTTGTCGCGGTTGACTGTTGTCACATTCTTGCTGTTGTCACTGTTGTCACTATTGTTTCTGTTGTAATTGTTAATGCTGATGTCGCTGTTGTCACTGTTGTCCCTGTTGTCACTGATGTCACTGCTGGCACTGTTATCGCTGTTGTCACTTTTGTCATTGCTGTTGTTCTTTTCACTATTGTCGCTGTTGTCAGTGTTGTCAGTGTTGTCGCTGGTGTCAGTGTTGTCGCTGGTGTCACTGTTGTTTCTGTTGCCGGTGTTGTCACTGTTGTCTTGTTTCACCTTTGTTGTTGTTGTCACAGTTAATACTGTTGTGGCTGTTGTCGCTTTTGTGACTGTTGTCCTGTTGTCACTATTGTCGCTGTTGTCACCGTTGTCACTGCTGCCACTGTTGTCGGTGTTGTCAATTTTGTCACTGTTGTCGCTGTTGTCAGTATTGTTCCTGTTGTAGCTGTTGTAACTGTTTTCATTGGTGTCGCTGTTGTTGCCGTTGTCACTGCTGCCATTGTTGTCACTTTTGTCAATGTTGTCACTGTTTTGTCGCCATTGTCACGGCTGTAGCTGATGTCAGTATTGTTCCAGTTGTCGCTGTTGTAACTGTTATCACTGGTGTCACTGTTGTCTCCTTTGTCGTTGTTGTCACAGTTATTACTGTTGTGGCTGTTGTCACTGCTGTCTCTGTTGTCCTTGCTGCTGTCGCTTGTTGCTCTTGTCACGGTTGTTGCTTTTGTTACTCTTCTTATCGCTGTTGTCTTCTTTGCGCTTTTTGTCACAGTTGTCACTGGTGTTGCTGTTGTCACTGTTGTGAGTGTTGTCGCTGTTGTCACCGTTGTTACTGATGCCACTGTTGTTGCTGTTGTCAATGTTGTTACCATTGTCACTGCTGTCTCTGTTGTTACTATTGTTCCTGTTCTGACTGTTGTAACTGTTTTCACTGTTGTCACTGTTGTCAGTGTTGTCACTTTTGTCACTATTGTTCCTGCGGTCACTGTTGTCGAGTTGACACTGTTGTTACCTTTGTGGTTGTTACTGCTGTTGTCACTGTTGTTACTGTTGTCACTGTATTCATTACTGCTCCTGTTGTCGCTGTTGTCACTATTGTTCCTGTTGTAACTGTTGTCACCTTTGTGGTCGTTGTCACAGTTGTCACTGTTCTCACTGCTGTCTAGTGTTGCGGACCACTGTAGGCAGTATGCCTTGAGTGACCCCAAGGACCAGAACTTCCAGACTCTTTGTGATCACCGACACACAGACCATTGAGACCGCTGTGATACACTTACAACTGCTCTTGTAGAGATCCAAAACACTGTTGCAGGGATCACTGAGAAGAATATGGGAGAAGACACCAACGACTAAGTAAACTTCATATCTGACCAAGTAATCTCCAGTATTTAAGAGGCTGTCCGCGTAAGAACCGATAAGGCAAATTTCGGTCTATCACGGATTGCCCTGATTTTTTCAGTGGAAGATGACTATCCTGTCCCATGAAGAAATATCACATTTATTTGGACCAACTCAATTTTTTCTCTATTTTACAGGAAGATTTTCTCGGTCACCTAAAACTAGTCAGTTTGCCGTCGGAAGTAGTGCGATTTTGGTGAAACTTTAGGGCTCTGTCAAACCTACCTTACATAGCCGAATAATCTGATTATTTTACACACAAAAGTTTTAACTCTCATTAATAGTTTCAATGTTTAATGGTTGCATTCTGTGGAAAGTTGGCTGAGATATGATTTTTTGAAAATGATCTTTAATTTGCTCAGCAGGAAAAGTAATTTGCATGACTAGAGCTGAACGGTAATTTCGCAAAAGTGGCACCTGACCCAGACTCAAGTCTATGATAAATCAGAAGTACTAAGACCAGTCTACTTCTTAACGCAATAAAATTTGTGGGCACTCTTCTTTGCGTGCCGTTCAAAGTTCCGTTTACGTTCCTAAATTCGCCATTTTGACCGCAAAGCTGGAATTGTGACGGGGCCGCATCTGATCGACTAATTTCCACAGCTTTAACGTTTCCAGTTATCACTAAATATCATTAGACCCTTTAAATGTTGGACGTTTGAAAACATGTGGAGAAAACTTAGTAGTCGCTTTTCCTTGGGTCTTTTTCTTGTCGACAATGAACGTGACTTCGTTCTCGGTATGCAAATTAGCCTTAGATGCGTTGTTTCAACAAATTGACAGGAAATATAATCGTTACATTCACATTTCTAAGGGGAAAAATAATTCTCCTTTCCACAGAAAAACACAAACCATGACTTAGAATCCCCTTAAGGTCTGGTTTTTTTTTAACGGGGAAGAAGCAGCTGAATAATATATCATGATACATGTTTGCGGCTTAAAATAATTCAATTACTGTGGCCTGTCACGCATTCCTGAAGACGGGTGGTCGATTAGAAAACAATAGCGTTGTGTCGATCAATTCGATAATATTATCATCTTTTTTTTAAATGATAGTTATTGATAATAATAAAAAATAAGAGTTCACTTGCAAGGTAATTCCTCCTGTCAGCACACGAAAATGTTTGGGCACCCTTTTTTGCGTGCCTTTATAAAAAATAGCGTTGACGTCGAAATTAAGCTTTATTATGATATTTGCTTATCGGGAGAAGGCAGATCTTTGTACATGGCACTATGATAAAAAAAAAAAGGCCCCACACTTTTTCTATCTTAAATTAGCGGTAAATTTCAGTTTCATTCAAAGATCTTTAAAGTGTTTATCGGTAGCTTATCGGTAGCAGAATGAAAAGGGAAAAATAGTTCCTTTTTTCAGTGAATAAACGCAAAAGGGAGTATCTTTTCAGTTTTTGTTGGGGTATAACATCCGAATTCCAACGATGATCTTGTTTTGGTTTCAATCTGATTGAATTATAATGCAACAGGTGCCAGTTTCAAATTAAATATAATTATGTCACTGAAATCGCCGAAGAGATCAATTGTGAAAAATGGCTTTTTCGGCTATTTCATCAAGCAGTTCTTCCGCGAGATCGTAGACAGAGTGAGGTCCCGGAAGGGGTGTGGAGGAAAATGTGTTGGTCACAGAGTGCATGGATGATATTACCTCGCACTTAGCCAGCTGTCACTTGTCTAAGTGTAGCAAGTGTAGCAAAGACAATGAAAATGAACTCATTTTAGCGAGAGTACGTATTCGAGGCTTGGTGGGTATTCGGAACTGAAATGACAATCTGCCCAAGGCACAGACACTAAATAGCCTGTGTACAGACCCCCTCCTCTCAGGAAAAATCGGAGAAGGGGCCGCTTCTCCCAGGGGGGGGAGGGTAGTGTGCAAACAGGCTAACACTAAAATGACAATCTTCTTTAGGCACAGGTTTTTGCGAGCGCCAAGGTCTTGTTAGGCTCGATTGTAAGCCGCTGTTCTGGAAAACGAGCCCCCAACGGACGGGGAGAGGGCGGAAATCGAGCCTAAGGTCTTGTCAATACCCCGGTCACACTCTGGATCATACTAGCAAAATAACTTCTGTGGCAGGAAGACACGTCGTAAATTTCCAGATAGCCAGCGAAATAAGTCAAAGTTTTGTTCCATCATTCTTTTTTCTTCTACATGCAAACAATTGTCTTAACGTACAGAGATATTTTAATTTCTCTATTTAACATTTTATCTTGCGATGTTTTCTGAAGTTCGTTTCCAGTATATTTGAGCTTGCAAAGATAGTTTTTGTTATTTCTATTTTTTTGACAGCCGTGTATCTTGCCCTAATCAGTTCTTACCTTTAAAATACTATACATACCGGTTAATCCGTGTGTTGTGAAAGATTGTTTTCTGATGATTGTTTAAAGAGCATTATAAATGGGGAAAAAAGAACTTTCTACACGGAGTCAGGATTCAACCTCGTCCCCAGGGCTTTCCCGCCGCTGTCATTTTCTAAGAAGAATGTCCTGGGGACGAGGCTAGGAGTGATTGTGGTCGAGGTGTCGTTCACGTGTATGATTAAACAGTGTTTAAAACATGTCTCTGGGTTTTGTAAAAATTAGTGATACTTAAAAGTACCTTAGTGTTCAGTTCAACTTTATATAGCCAATTTGCTCCTCCTGTCGCAAGAAACTTGAAAAAACTTGACGCCGAAGGGTCGAGAAGAGCACGATTGAACAGTCTGCAACCATGTCCACACATTTGCCGGAGAGGTTTATTGGACAAGATTTCTCTGTTTTTTCTTGTTTGATAACGTTTTCATTAAGTCTTCAAAAATGCCTCCAGATTGTTGTTTTTTTTGTTTTTTTTTTGTATTTATACCCTCTTGAACAATGTGCTTCATCTCACCTCTCCATTTTTAACCTACTTTACCATCCACCCTCTCTCCCCACTGTTCCACCTCTACTTTAATAAGCATTTGTATTTAAGAGGGTGAAATTTCTCCCATGTATATTAATTTCTGAAAAAATAAGTCCTTCTACTTTTTCCTTAAATTCTTAAACTTAATTCTTTTTTCTTTAAGAACCACCAAAGATGCTGCTAAGGCTGCAATAAGCGCACTCGCCCTTTTATATACTTCATCTAGCGAAATGCCCGCCCTTTCATATACCTGAAGCCTGAAAAAGATACTCCTTTCGGGCGGAACCTCCCCGTATAGGCCATCATAGGGAGTTCTCCCCAATCCCGTTCCAATTCCGTGCTCACCTATTGCCAGCCCATGTTGGACTCTAGGCCCGTTTGAGTCAACACGTAAACATAATCCTAAGTGTATACAAGTTGAACTTGACCATAGAGATCTGTTGCAGGAAGACGAGGAGTTCGAAAGGCAAAAGCTTGTTGCAGAAATCGCTGAAGAATTGAGACCACAACACCCTCAACCAGAAGCTTTCAACCTATGTGTATGTCAAAGGAAGAACAACCTAGTCAGTTCAACGTGGTAATGCTAAAAAAATCCTGTGTCACTTTAAAATACCATTCAAATCCAGGGAAAGAAAAGGAGACCTAGTTGACAAACTTTCGTCTTTCATACAAGATTGCACGTGCTTTTCTCCAACAGCTCAGGAGTGAACATATGGATCCTTAATTTAGTGTGATTAACAGCCGGCAAAACTTTTGGGATTTAACACTGAGAAGGACCGTAAACAATAACTATGCCTTTTTCTGCATGCCATTCCTCATTTTTACTGAAATGTTGTTAATTGGCGATAAACACAATGCTCTGTTAATACCACCCTAATGTTTGTATAGCCTATGGTTAGCAAGGGATCTAGGAAATGAAAGTACTTTGCAGGTGTGGTCCTATGCTGTCGCACGGTATCTCTGAAGTTGTTTGCGAGCTATTTCCAAAATATTAATTTTTGATTCTGTAATTGAAAATATTGTGCTAGTGCTCGTGAATAAGAGTGGCCGTGTCCAAGTGACTACTTTGTAGCTAATTGTCGTGTATTACACCATGGGCTGTCATATTAAACCCTATCCTCACGGTAACTCCCGGGGATACTGACTCAGTTAAAACGGTAGTAGAATGAATAAATACAACAGCACGGTATTTCCCACCCAGTAAAGAATCGGAATTAACAACGATTAAATTGTATGATTATCAATAACTATCACTTCAAAAACAATATAATCAGATAAAAGAACTGATCGATACTCAGCCACTCTCGGGGAATGCGTGACGGGCCACAGTAATTAAATTATTTTAATTCGCGTAAACATATCTTCTTCTACTACTTCTTCCTCGTGAAACAGACCTAAGGGGATTCTAAGTCATATATCGTTCGTGTTTTTCCGTGGAAAGTTCTAAGAGATATTTTCCCTTAAAAATGTGAAATATAAGCAGTTATGTTTCCTGTCAATTCAATTTGTTGAAACGACGCATCTAAGGCTAATTTGCATACGGAGAATGAAGTCGCGTTCTGATCGTCGACCAGGAAAAAAACCAAGAAAAAGCGATTACCAAGTTTTCTCCTCATGTTTTCAAAAGTCCAACATCTAAAGGGTCTAATGACATTTGGTGATAACTAGAAACGTTAAAACTGTGGAAATTAGTCGATCAAATGCGGACCGTTACAATTCCAGCTTTGCTGTCAAAGTGGCGAATTTGTGACATTAACGGAACTTTGTACAGCGGGCAGAGAAGAGTGCCCACAAATTTTATTGCATTAAGAAGTAGACTGGTCTTAGTACTTCTGATTCATCACAGACTTGAGTCTGGGTCAGGTGCCACTTTCGCGAAATTACCGTTCAGCTCTAGTTATGCAAATTACTTTTCCTGCTGAGCAAATTAACGGTCATTTAAAAAAAATCATATCTCAGCCAAATTTCGACAGAATGAAACCATTAAACTTTGACACTGTTAATGAGAGTTAAAACATTTGTGTGTAAAATAATCAGCTTATTCGGCTATGTGAGGTAGGTTTGACAGAGCCCTAAAAATTCACCAAAATCGCACCACTTCTGAAGGCAAACGGGCCAGTTTTAGGTGACCGAGAAAATCTTCCTGTAATACAGAGAAAAAATTGAGTTGGTCCAAATAAATGTGATATTTCTTCATGGGATAGGATAGTTATCTTCCACTGAAAAAATCAGGGCAATCCGTGATACAACGAAATTTGCCTTATTGGTTCTTACGCGGACAGCCTCTTAAGCTTGGAAAGCTCACCTCCTATGTAGCCTCAATCAACACCAGGCACGTCTTGAAATCATAGACAGCCTAGATGAAACTTCTGTGTTGCTGGTGGAAGACTGGGCTATGAAGTTCTTACGACATAAATACTGACAAAGCAAAACCGATTGCTATGGCAAGTGTGGCCTATCTTGGCATATTACTGTGGCGATTCAGAAGGTCATGGCCGGTCAGCAACTGCAGATGATGACGTTTGCATGCGTATCTCAATCCTGTAGCCAAGACAGCAATGTGGTGTTGGCCATAATGGAAGATGTTATTGGTAGGCTTAAGGCAATGATGCTATCACTAAATACTGCCTTCTACAGACAGGAAAATGCTGGATGCTATAGAAGTGGGCGACCATAATAGGTGTGTCAAATGCTGGTTACGTCCATGGAGTTACCATCAAACAACTTAACTTCTCAGACTGTCACAGAGGAAAAGGTGCGTGTCACAGGAAAGAGGTAACAGTTAAAGCACACATGACAGTTTATCTAATTGAAGGTGATGACTTTGAAAATGCTGCTTAAATGATTGATACCACGAGACTGTCTGGAGGAATACCTGGCCTTAATTCTCCCAGTGTGAGTTGATAGCTTCTAACAGTTCTACTCATGTTAAATTTGATGGTGTTAATGCAGTCACTGACGTTGAATATGGAGCAGATACTACTACAACCTGCAAGGTTATGGAATTGCACCTGGTAAAGTAATTGAAATCAGCAAATTTGATGTTGACACTAGCATCAGACTTCCAAGACTACGTCATATTATGAGTGATGAGCTATCAGATAAATTCACAGGTGTCAAGTCGATCAAAGAAACCTGAAGTGACATCAAGTTCAGATGAGTCATAAGAATCAACAGTTGCTACAAAACTATTATTTGTCTGCCCCAAGGAAGGCTGTGTCAAGTCATATGCGGTTTTTTGCCCTATAGGAAAATCTTGACAGTGGCAAGCATGAGCTCGTCTTGGAATGGGAGACTTAGATGGATGAAGCGATTCGTGGTTATGCGGTCGGGTTAGAAGAACAATCTGCAAATGTTCCCAGCAAGCAACAGTGCTCAGAAACACAGACAACACCAAATCTGCCTTAACTTCCTATGGGATGGGCTCTCAAACCAAGCCAGTCGTCAAGAACATGATTTACTGAAAAACAAAGACTATCTTCTCAACAAGTTCCCAATTGGAGAGCAAACTGGTGAAAAGGTCGACTCTGCCTTGGGCTTCTCCCTCGATGGTTAGCACTAGAGATGCAAATGTAGTTAAGTTGTTCAACAGTGCGGAGTTGTTGACTGGTCAACAGGTAGCAAGCTACTTTTCTCATTTGGCCTCCAAACATAGAATCCAAGGGTGCGACATGCAGAGCTATCAGGAGCCAGATGAAGAAAGCTTGGAAGCTGAAGCGGTGTTTACTGAGTTAAGAGAAGAGGTCATTCTTAATATACAACCTACTCATGCCATCATGTACGACAGCTATAACTTGTGTGAGCTAATGAATGAAGGCCAACTGTCGAAGTTTGCCATTTCAATGTTAGAATATGTATCCAGTTTGAAATTCCAACGTCTGACATCAAAGGCCAAAGAAAAGCCCCATACTAAGTCTGATCGAAGAGTTTCTGAAAAAATGCAGCTGTTTCAGCTCTTACAGTGCTTTTCCGTTTTAAGTTACTTGCAACCAAAGTAAGGTTTATTAAACACAGCTTTTAATGGCAAATACAAATGTAATTTTGTTCAAGGACATACAGTACATGTAGTGCAGGATTTAGAAATAACATGAAAATTGGTGAGGTATTATGTAAAAGTACACACGAGAAAACGGCCACTAGTGAAACTCGCTGCTTTGTTCAAATGGGGGTTTGAAGCTAGCAGAATGAAAGGGGAGAGACAGTGTGGTAAAGGCGAAGTAAGCTTACCAATAGTAGCTGATTTTTGAAAACAATGATTTTGGATTTCTTTTTGTCAAGAGGCGAATGTCTCAACCAAAACCCAATAAACAAGCCAGCCAAGAATAACAAAATAATCTTGAGAGCAGCTGTATTGAAGTGTTCAAAACACCTGCCATATGTTCTTTTCTTTTAACTTACCATGGAGGTTTTTTCTTTTTTTCTCACTGCAGATGACGGTTGATTAGAGCCAAAATTCAATGGAGTCCACATCAAAAAAAAGAGTAGTACCGTACAAAAAGGGAAGGGCAAAGGTAACAAAGAGCCAGAAGCTCATAAGAATGCAATGGAAAAAAGTAAAGCAAAGAAAAGCAAGCAGAAGAAAAAAAAAGAAAAGAAGAAAGACAAAGTCCAGAAGAATAAGGCCCTTGATGAAAGGGATTTTAATATTCTTGGGCAGTTGTTCCAACTGAATAAGTCTGTGGCAGTGATTGATCAGCAAGGTAGAGAAGTGGAGGGGAAAGAAAAAGAACTGGAAAGAACAAAGAAAGAACTAGAGCCAAGGGAGAGAGGATTACATAGGAAAGAAGGAAAGAGAAACAAGGAAAATTCCAATGAAGTTATCTTTCGCAACTTAGAAAGAACGGTTACAGGGCCCTCACACAGGTACAAAAGTGATGTTGAGGATGATGAAAATAAAACGGAAGATTTCAGTAAGTACAAGCTTTCTGCATCTGCACCTAGGAGTTTAGCTCATACTCAAGGGGAGGAAATTGGGAATTAATTTTGACCTGTAACAGAATCATAGCAAACTTTGCTAGATGTCACATCTTAAAAGTTTAAATCAAAAAAAATTTTTCTTCTTGTTTTTGAGGCAAATCTTCAATTATTATAAACACAAATAATAATAATAATAATAATAATAATAATAATAATGCAATAAAAATTATTTATTGCACTTCTGTTTCAGTATTCAAAACACTGCCACACCATAATGTTTTTAGATTTCGTACTCTACATTTCGTCTATGTTTGGAAGTATTACATTTGCTGGTCCCCAGCATAGAATGAAAAAAACACTATGGAAAAAGTTTGATTTGTAAATGTTGTGTTTACATATGGTCTAGGTCTAAATGAGAGTGACTTAAGCTCAGCAGCTGACATCGATAACACAGAAGCAAGTAGTTTCATTACGTCTGACAGTGCTCCAGTAAGACCATCCGTTGGCATGAAAAGGCCAAGGGCAAACCTAATATGCACAACAGCCAACAAATGTCCAAGAAGGCAGGGTGAGCCAGAATGCTCTCAGTGTCTCCACCAGTTAGCAGAAAACAAAGAACTGAGAGAGGCCAATGCACTGCTCACCGACCACCTTGCTCAGTCCAGGGAGGCAGCAGCAGACGTTGAGCAGAGTGAAGCCCCTAGACCTCGCAAAGTGACCAGGGCAATTGCTGAACGTCACAAAGTAAGATTTGTTTTGATGATATCATACAAACCATAATTAAAGGGTTTACTCGAAAAAGAGGTTGTAACATGTGACAATTTGCCAGTAAATTACTTCGTATTTCCTTGCAAAAAAAAGGATAATTGTTACATCAAAAGTCACAGCCTTTATCAGTGCACCCCTTAACTTCTATTATTGGCTGCAATAAATATATATTATCATATTTATTTATAATACACTTTGGACTGGTCATTAATTTCAGGGGTTCGATGGCAAAAAACAACTTAACGTAGTGCCAAGGAACTGGGAATATATTTTCGTTATAATGAGGGTTCGTTATATCGAACATCTCCATATAACAAATTTTCGGGAAAACTACCAAAATGTCCATTATACCGAGGTATAGTTAATGTTGGTTTACAAACCCAAGCATTTCCAGCTCCGAAAAAATTTCTGTAATGATATTTCGGAACTCAGCTACACATAGTTACAGCAGTAGAAACTCAAGAACATGCAAACAAAACTGCCCTAAAGTACTGTACCAATAATTTTATCCCTGTTGGTCTGTTTGGCATTTATCTTTTATCACATGCCGGCAGTTTGTTGATATACACCTATTTTAATTATTAAGGTTGCTTCGGCGAAGAATGATTCATGATGCATGATCCATGTTTCATAGCCTGCAGTGCATTGTGGTAGATCTCTTTGTAGGCGGAAAGTTTAACTTCGTGTATTCCTGTGCGAAGTAACCCGTGAAATGGAGACAATAAACATCTGTCCCAAAATCCTAACGGAAAATAAGAAAGAGGTGAAAGAAAGTTTCCAGTTAAAACAAATTCCGAAATTTGCAAGTGCCGTTGAGCTAAAGGATTATATTGTAAGCAAGAAAGTCAAAGCTGCTAACGTGGAAAGCCTGGAAATAGGCTGTTACGGCCCTCCAAGAGGTACTTGCTTTGCCATTATTGATGAAACTACGCTGGCTGAGGCGTATTCCACCGAGAAGCAACAGTGGGTAGTGATATGGGTATGGACTGCACCAGATGGAGTGGCCAACAAACGTCAAAGTCAAAGTTCCATGGCAGTAGCCAGCAGCAACGCTAAAAGATTGCGCCTATCAAGTAGGTGTTAAGAACCTATTTTCCTTTAAACTCCGTTTGCATTGCTAGTTTTTGTTCGTTGGTTTTCCGTTTATCTGAATGCCTTTTAAATTTTAAGGTGAACAGCACGATGGGGAGGACGACTTTTCAGACATCTACAAAAGATTGGTGGAAAAACATGGCTCGGAATTGCCCGATTTTAAGCTCCAAGTGTGGGCCAGGATGCTGGTAAGTCCAATAAAACAAACCAATTACCTTCTGATGTCAACCTTTCAGCTCTAAAAATACTAAGTAAACTCATAATGAAAAAGTTGTTTATTATTGTACAACTTGTACACAAGCCTAAAAAATGCGAATGGAAGGAAGGGCGGCGACAAGGGCTGCCAAAATGTTGCATAAAAAGTGGATTCGCACTCTGACTATTAATCTTCATCGCGATTATTCCAGTTCTCTTACTTCAGTAAAAGTAGGCAAGCTCTTCTTAGAGTTAAACTCCTCAGAACCTTATTCAAGTTAAGAAAGAGAAAGAACATTTTGCGGTCGCTTGCTTACGTACTCTACAAAACGTTAAATTTAGCATTTTGACGTCGTAGTCATGCAGTGAAGGCAAAGAAATGTACAAAAAACGTGATGCACGTGCAGAGTTGTTATTTTGCTAATCACTGAACCTCTTGTTTTGTTTTATGTTCTTGTTGCAGTGTTGTTATTTTGCTAATCACTGCACCTATTGTTTTGTTTTATGTTCTTGTAGCCATCGCCTTCGTCGGATCCTACCTGATGTGCAAGAAAAAGAAGATTCGTTGAAAGTTTGCTTAAATTTGGATATTTACACAGGGCAAAACCTGGACTTAAATCTGGCAGTAAAAATGGCTTTAGCAATGGCTTCAGCATTAGTAGTTTGAAATTTCTGCAGGACCAATTAGCGGTTTCTGATGGAACAATTTTTGTGGTTTACAAGATGCTTGTCATTTGTACATTCTGTTCTTTTGGCAGGCAAATAAAGTGTGGAGCAGCGAAGAAGAATATCCTCAGCATTCGTTTTTTATGGGCAAAAAGCCAAAGCAACAGCAAGGGCCTGCGGCACACACCGCAAACCAGAACAAGGTGAAGTATTACCCAAGAGTCACGGCCTTAAGAATTTTTAAAAGTTAATAACATTTTGGGGGGAGGGGTGGGGGGAATAAGATCCACAAATCTTGAAAAAGGTGTCGTGAATTAAATAGGTTAGGAATACGATGATAAAATCCCCCCTCCCTCATAAACTGAGAAACCTTTAAACGAATGTATTGCTTTTGCCTATTTCAAGGATTATAAATTAGGAATTTATGTCTTCTTTTTCAGGTGCAGCTTCGTGAAGAAATCCTAAGACAGTTACGGGAACTGAAAGATTTGAAGGATGCCGATGTCTTGGACTCCACACAATTTGAGAATCAGAAGCGCATCCTGTTAACTGAGCTGAATGGGCTCTTGTAAACAGGCATAATCCTGCGCTTCATTACATTGTATTGTTATACTGTGAAATCAATAACTCTGACAACGATTGCTAATATTAACACCAAATTTATGTCGGGAAAGTTAAAAACACAGAAGAGAACACACTTTTGTTTTTGTGGGCGTTATAATCATGAATAATAAAAGTCGTGCAATTACGTGAAAAAACTCAGGCTTTTATTTCTTGGTCTATCAAGCACAAGAGTTAAATGTCAATCGTTCACAGCCTGGCCTAAATCTTGCCACTTTGATCAGGGAGGGTTAATGTGCATAGTGGCTTGTCGCCGTCATTGGGTCACTGAGGCAAGAGGACGGGACCCGCTTAAGTACAAATTAAGCACGGCAGGCCTAAAACATAGGTACTAGTGGGCCAACAGGTCAGTTTAAGGGCTGGTTTTCTAATTACGTCCCTGTAGAGTGCATGTTAGTTTACAGATATTCTGAGTGTTGAATGTAGTTTCGCACTTGCTCATTGAAAATGCTTAAAAATCCTTCCATGACCATGTTTCCGGGTTGATCACACATTCGCCATTCTTGATCATTTTCTGATCCACGACTTCACTTGCGAAATTATTCCCTCACACGGCATGAAGTCGGGGCTGTATGGAGGGAGGCAGACGAGTAGAGCACCAGTGGCGTTTATTGCCCTCACAACGTCGGCAGTATGGTGAATCGCATCATTATCTGTTTTCAAAATAATAACAGAAAGGATAAGGTTAATAACTCAACGCTTGTTTTCAATGCATCTGCGCCTGGCCGATTTCCTTCTACCAAAATTATAGCTAACGCCTGTTTAACGTTAATTTTCCACTTGTTATTAAACATGGTATTGAGCTTGGTATCTCTGTAATTATTCTTAAGTGCACTGGCTGCTTTTGTGAGATAATAATCACTATATAAAAGTATAAAGAATAGTAAGCTATCAGTGTGCATGGTTAATTGAGCCTATACATCTTTTTCCAAAGAACAATGAACTTACCCATTACAACAATCGAGCGCGGATTGATCCCGTTAAAAGGATTGACATTAGGGGCTAAGTGGTCAGAAACAAAATCCAAGAAGACATCACTGTTAACATTTCCGCGATAGATCCCTACATCAAGGAGGCCTTCTGTTGAAGCGATGGTAATGGCTGAAATGCGTGGACCCCAATTAGCATGAGGCCGCACTACCTCCGCCCGCATTCCGCGAAAATTTCGGCCGTACTTTCTGCTGATCCGCTTGTCCTATGAATAATCAAAATAACCCAAACATGCCTTATTCATCAACGTTACGCATTGGGAAAATGATTCTCAGTTTCGTTATCTTACAGAAATGCAAGTCAAATGGACCTTGTCGGCTCGTATGTTTTGTTTTCTCAATGCAGACCTCGAGCTGTTCTCAAGAGCATTTGCATTTTGTCGTGTCATAAATTATGCTTTCATGTGTTGAACATACGAAGATAGGATAATACAAGGTTAATGTAACCCGCCGCTCCAATGAGCAAAGTATAAAACCACAACAACAATGAAAACAACAACAGGAATTCAGTTAAGCCTAGTTACTTGTATTGGAGAATGGAAAACGCAAGTGGAACAAAAACTCACTGCAATTTGCACATTAAGCTAAATAAATTTACGAATTTTCTGAGAAAGTGGTTCAAAGACATTTCATGTTCGCTGAGGCAGGTTTTGAGGCAACAATTTCTTTGGCGTCAAATTGGCCAATTTCGGGACAAAAGTCAGCTATATCATCAAAATAGTTTATTCTAAGTATTTGTGGGATTTCCTTGGCTGGTGATCAACACTTCCAAAAAGAAAAATAAATTTTAACGCGATATGACTGTACATGTAAATAAGTCGCGTGCCAACTTACAAATCCACTCTCATCCAAAAACACCAGCATATCAGCGTCAAACAAACAAATATTTGCCCAATACATTTGTCAAAGTTCTTCATTTCTCTGCGACGCAATCTGTCGAACCTATAAATTGGACAAATCGCTAGGCTAATACATATAAGACAATTTAAACCACGCAAGCAGAAGGCAGATATTAAGATTACCTTTTTGCGTGTTATTCCATTGCGTTGGAAGTAATAATGAAGAGAGGAAAGGACGAATTCGGAGCCTGTGCTTCTGTAAATTTGATCAAAAATCTCATTTAAGGACACTGTTGCATTTTCCAGCACTGCCTCCATAATTATAAGCTCTTCTGGCGGCTGGAAATCCAAGCTTCCCAGAGGTCTTCCGATCTTCTTTGCTTTCACATCACCAGAAACAAAATAACCATGTAAGTAGTGCCTAAGAGTCCATTTGGATATCCCAAGATGGAAACAGGTTTCTTCCTCTGAATACCCACAAAAATGCCTGATCCAAATCGCCCTCCAACGGAGGTCTTCAGAGTATGGCGCGGGCATGTTACAAACTACGCTTGCTCCCATAATGCACCGCGCGCTA